ACTCATGCCTCATGCATGCTAGGCAAGCACTTTATGGTTATCACATTCATTTAGTCAGTGAGGTGTGGTGGCATTCGCCTGTAATTTTAGTGCTTGGAGGCTGAGGCAGGAGGATGACCATGTGTTTGAGGACAGCTTGGGCTACATAGTTGAGTTCAAGCCCAGCCTGAATTGTATAGCAAGCCTGTCTCAAAAGAAAAAAAAGAAAACATTATATATAGTCAATTTTGTTGGTCTCTTTAAAAGGTAATTTAATTTCATTTTAACTGATAAATAATAATAGTATATATTTCTAGGATATAGTGTGTTATTATGACAAATACTTCATGAAATGATTAAATCAAGCTAATTAACATATCCAGCACCTCACACACTTATCATTTCTTTGTGGTGAGAACATTTGAAGTCTATTTTTAGAAACTTGGAAACATACATTGTTATTAACTGTAGTTACCATGCTGTGCAGTTGATCTCTAAGACTTACTCCTCCTGTCTGACTGAATCTTTTTTTTGTTTTGTTTTTCGTTTTTCTCTGGTACCAGGAACCGAACTCACGACCTTGCGCTTGCCAGGCAGGCGCTTTTGCCGCTGAGCTAAATCCCCAGCCCCCTCTGACTGAATCTTTATACCCTTTGACCAACATCGCCCGTGCTCCCACCCGCCCATCTAGTCCTCTGACAACCACCATTGACTTCTTGCTTCTGGAGCTTCTTCCTTCATGTACTTTTACAGTGAAGGCGAGGCAGACCCTCTGGGTGAGCAGTGGCGAACCTTTTAGAGACCAAGTGCCCAAGTTGCAACCCAGAACCCTGTGTTTATCGTAACGTGCCACCACTGCAGTTAAGCCTCAATTTTCGGCTGCCGGGGTGACTTCACTCAGGAGCCAACAGGGAGGGCTCTGTGTGCCTGCTGTGGCATGTGTGCCGTAGGGTTGGACCTCTATTCTAGGTGGTGTGTGTCTCGGGGTTGTCCTGTGCATGCAGGATGTTTGGTGGCATCCCTGGCTTCAGCCTGTTAGATAGTGCTCCCCTTGCCTCTGTGGCAGTCAGAAATATCTCAGCATTGCCATATGTCCCTGAGAGCAAATTCCCCTTTGTTCTGAGAACACTGACCTAAACATAGGGTATCTTTGCAGAAATATGTTAATTAGGGTGTCATTTTGGGATGTCAACGCTGATATCAGGACCTATGCCCTATCTTTTTTCTTTGTGTGTCTGTGTGGTATTAGGGCTTGAACCCTGGGCCTTAGTACTGAACAACATCCCCAGCCCATTTTATTTTTCATTTTGACACACGGTGTTGCTGCATTGCCTAGGCTAGGCTTGACTCTAGGTTTTTCCTGCCTTACCCTCCCAGAATGCATGGGTTACACGCATGCACCGGAATGCTGGGCTCCATGCACTATTTTGTAGCTGTTGCTTCCTATCTGCCAAATACTTTCCTAACATTACTGTAGGCTATTTTATCAACAAGTTTACATTTAGAAAAATAAATTGCATACAGAGTAAAAGAATAGAATGCAGTGTCTTCCTAGTCATACTGCACCTTTCTTGGTCAGAGTTCTGTCCCCAACAGGAAAAGCACTTAGGATGTGGAACATGAAAGGTACGTAGTCCGAGTTTATACCCAGTAACAACAGCTTTGTAAAACCCATGTCCAAACTTTAAACTCAGAAATATTTCAAAGCAGGCCAGCAAGTGCTTACTGAGCCCCTGGTAGCTGCCCAATAGAGTTGGACGTTTTAGTTTTTTGGGGTTCGATAAATATTTGTTGGATGAATAGACATTACAGAGGAAGTTATAACTGTGAATTTATTGGATGAATGGACATTAGAAAGACAAGGGAACAGAAAGTGAATACTAGCCAGCATCATCCGGATGCTCCCGCACTTCACACGGTGGTGCATTTCCCCTTGAGCTGGAATTTTTTAAAATTAATATTATTCCTCTGATGAATGAAGCAACGGATGCTCAGTCTGGTTTCTGAGATTCCATATTTTCCCCTACTTTAGACATCAGAATGTATCTGTTTATTTGCTTGGAATTGAATGAGCTCATTTACAGCTCCACTGTTGAAATAAAAAAAGCCAGACAATTTGGTAGTAAAATAACCCAAAGCAGAGAACATTGTAAACCTGAAGAACTTATTCCCCCAATGTAAGACGGTGAGATGTTTTTAGCATTTTGCCTTTATATTCAGAAATAGCTACATTAACATACTGCTCAAGGGATTTGTGGCTCTGTACAAAAGTTCTGAAATACGTATTTTTAGCTGCGTACGAAACCAGCTGAGCATGGTGCCGTGGACGTAGTCGGTTCACTCACAACGAAGTGTGTATTGTTGGATGGACCAGCCTTAAGAGGCATGTCAGATGAGCTTAAAGTGCTTGCTGATGGCTTCGCTCAGCCTTTGCTAAAGAACTTAAGAGTCTTCTGCTAAAGCCTGTCAAGTCGCTACATTTACAGGTGTGCACCTCCCTGCCCCCAGCAACTTTGTCCTTTTTTTTCTTTTTTCTTTTGGTCTTTTTGAGACAGGGTCTCGCTGTGCAGTTCAGGCTGGCCTTGAGCTCACTTTGTAGGCCAGGCTGATCTCGAACTCACAATGATCCTCCTGCCTCAGCCTCCCGAGTGCTGGGATTACAGGTGTGCACCACCATGCCCAGCCTAATCAGTTTTTCATTTCATTGATTTTTCTCTTGTTTTCTCCTCTTACGTGTATTTATTTTCTTCCTTCTACGTGCTTAAAATTTATTATGCTCTTTTTTTTTTCTGGGTTTTTGAGGCAGTTAGATTATTGATTTGATATTTTTCTTATATAAGCATTTAGTGCTTCTGTTTCCCTCTCAGTGTGGCTGTGTCTCATAAATTTGATATGTTGTTGTAGGCAGGAACAATTTCCTCTTCTCACTTAGGGTTCCAGGATAGCTTTGATGTAAAAACTGGCCAACACAGATGAACAGGAGAACAGCATAACAGATATATTTGATCAGTGTTTTACATGTGCTTGGAACCTGCAGAAATAAAGGCCCAATACTTTCAGGGATCATTTTTTTTGTTGTTGTTCCGGGAATCAAACTCACGACCTCACGCTTGCCAGGCAGGCACTGTGCCGCTGAGCTATATCCCTGGCCCTCAGGGATCATTTCTGTGGTAGGTTACTAGAGAAATTTCTCTGACTGTGTAGAGTACCAGCAATAAAGACCCAAAGACTCAGGGAAAACCGTTTGTCTTTATACTTGTGTTTGGTGAAGAACGGACGGCCATTCTTAATTGTGACCAGACAAAGGGTATGTTCTCACGGTGAAAGATCACTGGGCAGCCCAGAAAGGCCTGTCTGTCAAGATTCTTCTCCACCCCTCTAGGTAACATTTCTTTCTTCTAGGTACCTGGTAGGACCCTTTCTGAAAAGAGGGTATTCTTATCCATTATCAGACAAGGCAGATCAGAAAATTTATTTGTGGCCACATGGAAAGCCAGAGGCAGGGTAGAATAATATTTCTAGGTCTTGTGGCTGGCTTTGGGGGAGAGGGATTTTAGTTTCTATCACCCACTTTGAGAAAGAGGAATTCTAGTTACTGTGGCCTACCTTGTAGAAGAGAAGGAAGGGCAGGAGAATGTCAGAAAGATCTTGTTTCTAATCTCCTTTCCCTGAGTTCAAGGTATTTAGCATGCCAAGGCACCGAACTTTGGTATATCATGTTCTAAGCCCAAATCTTGTATTTTTTTTTTTTTTTTTTAGTTCAATGTGTTTTTTTTTTCTCTTGAAATTTCCTCTTTGACCATGGATGATTTAGAAGTGTGGGGTTTTGTTTTTGTTTTTGTTTGTACTGGGAATTGAACTCATGACCTCATGCTGGCCAGGCAGGCGCTATGCCACTGAGCTATATCCCTGGCTAGAGGTGTGTTACTTGGTTTCAAACATTTTGGAGATTTTGCTGTTACCTTTGTATTAATTTCCATTTTGAATTTGTTGATGTGTGTTTTATGGCTCAGGGTGTAGTTAATATTGGTCTGTGACACCTGGTCACTTGAAAAGAATTTGTATTCTTCTGTTACTGAATGGAGTGTTCCATAAATGCTATTGTTTGATAGTATTGTTGAGTTCTGTTATATCCTTTCTGGCTTTCTGTTGTTCTTTCAATTGCTAAGAGGGGAGTGTTGAAGTTTTCAACTACAATCGTGGGTTGATCTTTTTTCTTTCAATCTATCAGTTTTTGCATGATGTCTTTTATGGTTCTGTTGTTTGTTTATTTTATTCATTTATTTATTTAGTCTTTTTGAGACAGGGTCTCGGTATGCAGCTCAGGCTGGCCTTGAGCTCAGTTGTAGCCCAGGCTGGTCTCAACTCACAATGGTCCTCCTACCGCAGCCTCCTGCCTTGATCCTCCTGCCTAAGCCTCTGGGTGCTGGGATTACAGGTGTGCACCACCATACCTGGTGGTTCTATTGTTCAGTGTATACACATTTAGGGTTGCCGCATCTTCCTGGTAGATCACCCTTTTGTCTTTATGTTATCTCCCTGTCTGTCTCTGGTATAGTTTGAGTATTTGCATCTACTGTACCACTTAGATATCCCTAATCTGAGAATTTGAAATGCTCCAAAATCTTTAATTTGGGGGGGGCCAGGGCTGAAGGTCAAACCCAGGGTCTCCCTCCCACAGTCTGGGCAAGGGCTCTACCAGTGAACTTCATCTCTAACCCCCAAATCTGAAACTTTTTGAACATCATGTGTAGGCTCAAAAAGTTTCAGATGTCAGAGAATTTTGGATTTTCAGATTAAAGATGCACAGTTTATACCTTTTTTTCCCCTCTGACATCTACTTTGATATTTGTACTCATTTTTTGGTTTTTTCTCCGGTACCGGGAACCGAACTCACGACCTTGCACTTGCCAGGCAGGCGCTTTTGCCGCTGAGCTAAATCCCCAGCCCCGATATTTGTACTCATTTTTAATTGTATGATTTTATAACTGAGACTCTTTTTCTCCCTTCCCCCCCTTTAGGAATATATTATTCGAGTTCAAAGAGGAATTTCTGTAGAAAACAGCTGGCAGGTGAGTATGTATTGTTAGTTTGAAAAAATCTTTGAACTTGTGACCAAACCCTAATTTAGGGCATCTAAAAATCTGGAAAACAGAGCACTCATATAATTTAAGTCATATCTCTTTTAGCTATAAGCCTTCAACTTTAAGGTGAGTTTTATAAAAGGCTTTCCTATTGCCAGTTGTTTGATTAAATTATGTGTGGTATTACCAGAAAGTGTGTAGGAGTTTGTCTCTAGCGCAACCCAGAACAAGATACACATAGCCATAGTTTAGGCACATGAGGATAGAATTCAATCTACCAGGTAGAAGGGTAAGGCAGTGTCCTAGATGTTGTACACTGTGAAGCACGGCATTTCAAGGACATCCAAGTCCACTTGTAGGCAACTTCTAGTGAGACTGGGAGAGTCTTCTTGGGGTCTCAGGCTCTGTGTTCCTGTACAGGGGCTTCAAAGAGAAAAGACTTCTGGACAGATCTAGGGCTCCTTCCCATGCCAGTTGACTTGCAGAGGGTGGCTGAGTTCTGTATTGGAGAGTTCATTCTTTCCTGTTTTAGTAATTTTTTAAAAAATATTTTAAATATCAACTTTTTTGAGATCCAAAAAGATGAGATAAAATTCACCCTTTTAAAGTAAATAATTCAATGATTTTTAGAATATTCATGTTGTACATCCATCATCACAGTCAGTATTAGTACATTTTCATGATCCCCAAAAGAAATTACATATCTGTTCACAATCACTCACTATTTCTTCCTGACCTCAGTTCCCAAAACTGTGTGTTCAGAGTTTACCCACATTACGATGTGGATAACTACTTCATTTACCTTTATGGGCTAAATAATTTTCCTTTGTTGTAGATAATATCCCATTATAATCTATTAATTCACCAGTTGATAGATTTAAGATTGTTTCTATTTCTGGATTATGTCCAATTTTTATTTCTTCTTGATTCAGCTTTCATAATTCATAAGTATCTAGGAATACAGGTTCTCAAAGTAGGTATTGATCTTCTGGATTTCTGCAGGATCTGTTGTGATTTCACCCTTTTCATTCCTAGTTGCTTGGATGTGAGTCTTTCCTTTTTTTGATAAAGTTGGCAAAGGGTTTGTCAATTTTACTTAATCTTTCAAGGAACTAACTCTTCATTCATTCTTATATTGCTTTCTTAATCTTAATTGCATTAATTTCTGCTCTGATCTTTATAATTTCCTCCCTTGTATGATTGCTGGCCTTGACTTGCTCTTCTTTTTCTAGAAACTTGAGGTTTAACATTAGGTTGTTTATCTGACCTCGCTCTGTTTTTCTAATATGGAAATTCACCACTATAAATTTCCCTCTTAAAAAAAAAGATTGCTTTCCCTTTAAAAAAGAAGATTGCTTTCATTGCATCCATAAGTGCTCATGTGTTATATTGCATTATTGTTTAATTGTAGACACGGTCTAATTTTTTCTTTAATCTGTGACCCATTGGTTGTTCAGGAGAGTTTCATTTAATTTCCATTGTTTATGACGTTTTTGTGGTTTCTTTTGACATTGATTTCCTATTTATTCATTGATTTCCCCATAATTTCAGTTCCTTTGCATTTATTTAAGCATGTTCTGTGAGCTGGTGTGTGATCTATTTTGGAGAATGTCCCATGTGCAGCTGAAAAGAATGTGTATTCTGATGTTGTGTCTGTACTCTGGACATATGCAAAGTCCATTTGTTCAAAAGTTTGGTTCAGTTCTGATATTTCATTGTTGATTTTTTGTCTAGTTGATCTGTTTGTGACAGTGGGGTATTGAGGTCCCCCATCACAATTGTATTAGTGCTTATTTGATTTTTCATGTCTGTTAATATTTGGTTTATATAGTTGGGTGCTCTGGTATTTAGTGCCCAAACTTCAGAACAGTTTGGAGTGCTGGCTTGGTGGTCAAGAATTTCATCAGATGTTCTTTGTCATGGAAGTATCTTATTTCTCCATCAATTTTGAAAGGTACATCAGTCTGGGATGGAGGTTGTTTTCTTTTAGGGCTTGAAATAAGTGATTTCTCTTCTCTAGCAGCCTTTATTTTATTTATTTATTTATTTTTTGTCTTTTTGAGACAGGGTCTCACTGTGCAGTTCAGGCTGACCTTGAGCTCACTTTGTAGCCTCGGCTGATCTCAAACTTGCATGATTCTCCTGCCTCAGCCTTCCAAGTGCTGGGATTACAGGCATGTGCCACCACGCCCAGCTCTCCTAGCAGCTTTTAATATTCTGTTCTTGTGTTGAATTTGAATTTCTAGAATCTTTCATATTATATCTCTTGGTATAGATTTATTTTGGTCATGGCTTACTGGAATTGTATATGCCTCACTTAAGTGTATGTGTAATTATTTTCCCTGCTTGGGAAGTTTTCTGCTATTACTTCTTTTTTTTTTTTTTTTTTTGATACTAGGAACTGAACTCTCAACCTTGCACTTGCCAGGCAGGCTCCATGCTGCTGAGCTATAGCCCCAGCCCCTCTGCTCTTACTTCTGTGAATAGGTTTTTTTAATGTCATTTGCCCTATCTTCTGCTTTTCCATTGATTCTGATCAATCTTGTTATTCTTCTATACATCATCTAGCAGCTGTTGGATTGATTTTCATGACCCCTTGCTGTTTTTAAGAAATCTTTCTTCTTACAGTCACTAACTGTAGTCTTGTCTTCTATATTTGATATTCTGACCTTACATCAGCCCATTCTGCTGCATATACTTTCAATAGAATTTTTAATCTCCTGGATATCTGTTGCATTTGTTTCATGGATTCCATTTCTTTCCTATGATGGGCACTTATGTTTCCATCATTTTCCTAAACTTGTATAGTTTTTTTTATCTGTATCTGCTCTATCGTCACTATCCATGTCCTTCATTATGGTCACAATCTCTGTAGTTATCTGAGAAATTATTTCAGATTTGATTTTTTTTCTAGAGCCTCATTCATCTGCTTTGTTACTTCTACTGTATTACCACTTCAGAGAGTCCAGGAGGGTGGCTTTCATATTGTTCCACCTTAGTGCTCCCTGGGTTTGCCTCTGGTGAGCGTGAAGTTTGGGGTTGCATCTTGCTTCTGTGTCTTCTCATTTTCTTTTCTTTTTTTTTTAAGTTTAATTCCTTGGTTGGTACTTGTAAATTGCTTGTGACAGGTAGCTTTATTGCTAGTATTGATACTACCCTTGATCTTAGCCAAAAGGCCAAGAAGCAATATTATTGCTAGTATTGAGAACCCTTAGGAAACGACTACCTCTCAGAGATGTCTTCCAAATATAGCTGGCTTTTGGGTTTTGAGTCTGTTGCAAGATACTGCCTCTTTTTTTTTCTTCTGTATGTCTGTGTGTCTTTTTGAGACAGGGTCTCGCTATGCAGTACAGGCTGGCCTTGAGCTCACTTTGTGGCCCAGGCTGGTCTTGGACTCTCAGTGATCCTCCTGCCTCAGCCTCCCGAGTGCTGGGATTACAGGCCTGCACCACCATGCCTGACTCCCTACCTCTTTAATTTATTGTGGATGAGAAGTTGTTGTGTTCTTGGCCTAGCCTGTGGTTCTTCAGCACTGGCCTATAGTATTGTTTATGACCCTTAGGCAATCTCAGTGTTGGCATACCAGGAAGAACAACTATGTCACCTTGACTAAAGTAGTACAGTCAGTAATAATAATAGCATTAAACACAGGCTAGAAAATGACAAATTGTGATAACTATTAATTTGCCACCTTTAGCTGTATGAACTAGATTTGTGATTATATGATGAAAGCTAAAACAAACCAGAAAGTGTATACTGTATGCCCTTGATACGGCAATTTTACCCTTGGGGAGAAATTTTCAAAGGGAGTAGGGGAAAAAATAGACAAATAGAAGAGGAGGAAGGGATTAGAAACAAAGGTGGAATACAAAGGAAGATTATTCAGACTTTGAGAAGCTGGTACAGAAGACAGGAGGGAAGAAAGAAATACAAACAAGAACAGAACAACAACAACAATAAAACTAGAAACAATGTTCACAATCATAAAAACAAGAACAAACAAGAAAAAAACAAAACAAAAAACAAAAAAAAGAAGAAAACAATATCCACTGAAGGTGTATCTCTGCTGTCACTGGCAGGCAGAGCCCAGATCGACATTGGTTAATCCCAGCAAGCCTGTACCTTTCCACTGAAGTTCAGGCTGGTTTCTGGCTGTGAGGCTGGAACCCGATTTGTTCACCCTGAAACACTCCGTGTGCCTCCTGGTGGCTGGAAAGCCCCTCGACATCCTGCTGACTTGAACTTGGTTCCACCTCACTCTGCCACTGGAGCCAGCCTGCAGCTGCTCTGAGTTCTGAACTTCCCTCCAAGATGGCTGTGGGCCACTTGCCCTCTCCCAGGGGACATCTGAACCCCAATAACTCACGAGCTCCTGCAGTCTGCTGTGCCCGCTGCTCCGTTGCGCTGGTACATTTCTCCATGGAGGTCTCTGGGGTCTCCAGCAGTCAGCGTGGGTCTGCAGGTTTGAGTTGCCCCTCCAAGGCAGTGGGTCAGGGCTCAGGGAGAAAGCACTGCCTGCCACCTCCTTCTGTGCTGAGATCTCTTCCCTCTCCTGGGGGCTTCAGTTCTTGCTTTAGATCCTTACTGAATCCTGGGAAGCTACTTCCCTCCTTCTTCTCTTCCTCACGTTTTGCTGCATTCCGGTATCTGGACACCAAATCTTGAAGAGGCTCTTTCTCTGCTGTTCACCACTCCACCATCTTCCTAGAAGTCTCCTGCTTTAGTAATTGTATTTACCATCCCTCCTCCTTCCAAAAGTCCTACCTTGCACTTCACAGCCCAGCCTGAGTTTTTTCCCCACTTTAAGCAGTTCTGACCACAGTGGCCCACACATTGCCTAGAATTTCCAACTGCTTTTTAAAAAAAATAATTATTACATTTTACATTTGTTTAGTATTTATGAAGTATTCAGCACTGGTTCAAGCACATTAATTCACTCTAAACCAATCCTATGTGGTACTAGTACCCTCATTTTACATTTGAGGTGTAACCTGTCCGAGGTCACCTTACTTAGATCCTCGGCAGAACAGCGTGGGAACTTGCCTGTTCTCTGGTTAGTTATCTCACTATCTTTCGTTCTTATCAGAGAGGTCTTTTATTTAACTCTCTGATATTTATTTGACAAGCAGGACAAAGAGCAGCATCCTACTAGAAGAATCAAGCCCTGCCGCAGTTTCCTAGTTCCACTGCACTGGAGACTTCTGAGTACTCAACAGAAATGTCCTCTCAGGCTCCCCCAAGACCTACTCAATTAGACTCTCTGTGTGTGGGTTTCCTGGTAAATTCCTGGTAATTGTTCTACACACTAACATTTGAGAATTGCTAATAAAAGCTGAAGTCAAGCTGGGCATGTTGGTACTGGCCTGTAATCCTAGCACTCTGGGAGGCCGAGGCAGAAGAATCACAAGTTTGAGCCAAGCCTGGGCAACTTAGTGACGCTCGGTCTCAAAATAAATAAAAAAAAGATTTAAAAGGACTGGAGATACAGCTCAGTGTGAAGGCCCTGGGTTCAGTCTCTAATACAATCAATCAGTCAATCAATCAGAAAAAAAATGCTGTTGTAAAATTATTCAAATGTGGAATAATGTTTTTATCCAGAGCTACCAGCATTTGGTTGTGGTCTAATCAAGGGCATCAACACACAGAAGAAAATAGGCAGTGGGGAATAGACTGTCTACCAAGAGGGAGAGCCTGAGAGAAATCAGGGCAAGTTAGGGCAGCCCTACCTGTGGGTGCAGTCCAGGCTTCAGGGCCTCACCTGGCACAAGTTTTAGCCACAGCAAGGATGAAGTGGGCTCAGAGCTGCCCATTTCTTTTGCCTTTCTTTTGGATTCCCTGCTGCATTAAACTTTTTTTTTGGTAATCATTATTTCGTCTCCATGAACCTGGTTAATAAGAAAGTTGTTTGAAAGACTGTTTGCCCTGGGAACAAATACTTTCACTTATCTCTTGGTGTCTTTTGAGTTGTCTGGCGATAAACATTTTGGCATGGCGCAGCCACTTGGGCATGACTAGGCCTGTTTTCTGCATCTGCGAGGTTAAACAGGGTAAGTACCAGAAAGGCCATAGCCCACTTATCACACGTGCCACAGCTCTAGCGTGGCAGAAAATGTTAAGGGAAATGGAAAGAGGTGTCCTTCTTGAATCAAAACACCGCTGTCTTGTCTCTTACAGATTGTTCGAAGATACAGTGACTTTGATTTACTGAACAACAGCTTGCAGGTACATGTTTGCAAACTACAGCAATACAGTGTCTTTTTTTTTGTTTGTCTTTTTGAGGCGAGGTCTCACTATGCAGTTCAGACTGGCCTTGAGCTCACTTTGTAGCTCAGGCTTGTCTTGAACTCATGACGATCCTCCTGCCTCAGCCTCCCGAGTGCTGGGATTACAGGCGTGCGCCACCACACTCTGCTTACAGTGTCTTTGAAATTGTTTGGAAACACTGTTTGTTACCTTTCCATCACTGTAAGTAAATACCTGAGATAGTCAATTGACAAAGAGGAAAGATGTATTTTGGCTCACAGTTTTGGGGTTTCAGTCTGTGATCAGTTGGTCCTGTTGCTCTGGCCTGGGGTGAGGCAGCACATCATCGTGGAACAGTATGGCCAGAAAACAAAAGAAAGGATGATCAGGAGGGAGATGTCCCATATGCCTTCCTAGGGCGTGTCCACAATGACCTAGGAGCTACCAGGCAGCCCAAAGAGCCCCTACTAGGCCACTCAAGGTTCTGCCACTCTCAGGACCAAAGTTCTAACACATGGGCCTTTGGAGGACGTTCAGAATCCGAACTACAGCAAATGGCATATCAGGAACAAGAGTGTAACAGATTTCCTTGGCAAAGGGGAGATACCCTAACAGGTGATGTGTGGCTCCAGAAACAAGCATTTGGCCTTGGGAAGCAAAGACAGGATCTCTGCAAGTTCAAGGTCAGGCTCAACTGTATGATGAGACCCTGTCTCAGAAAAACAGAAAGCAACCAACCAAACAAATGTTTGGGATAAACAAGTGATTTATAATTAATAGTTACCGTGCAGCTGAGTGCAAGACTATTTTAAAACAGTCGTAGTCCTGACGTATCATCTGTGTTTCACAGATTAGGACTGCTTTTGCTCTGAAGGGCGTATTTTGAAATTCCTGTGATGTGTTCTAACTCGGTGGCTGTAATGGAAAGGATGAGCTGCAGTCTGTCTGGAAACAGCCGGGGGCTGGTAATGGTGGAAGAGTCTGGTTTCGGGGGTGCTGCACCACAGGAAGCACTGGGAATAACAACAGTGTCTCCCTGGGTAGATTGCTCTTCAAGTAACGTGGGCTGCTGAACTCAGGCTACTGGGCCTGGGGCATACCTAAAATTTGAGTGGTAACAGAAACACTTTTCAGCCAGGCCAGAGTGCTTGGCATATAACTAGCTCAGCCAGGAGGCAAAGAACTGCTCCCTGCTAGCCACCAAGTGTTCTGTGTGAGCCCTAGTGCAGTCCTTAAAGGTCAGGTGGACGGCTGGCTAGGAGGAAGCGCGGTGCTCTCCTTCCTTCAAACGACCACGTTTCATCCGTCAGACTTCAGAAAATAGCGTTTGTGGAGCCCAAACTTCATTTGCAATACTGCTGAAAGCATGAGTACCTTATTTTCCTTACGAAAGTATCAGCCTGAGTGTCTAGACGTTTATGTAATTGCCGCATGGTCATGCATTTGACATGTTGTCTTCTTTAATTTTAGCATGACCAGTTTAAATCTCCAGAGAGAATACTGGCAGAGGTCAGATTCTGTTTGTTTCACTTATGAGTTTTAATTGCACATTCTGTGCATTTGGACAGAGGCTAGGCTTGTGATAGCTTTAAAGAGAAAGCACTGATGCATAGTTTGTTCCCATAGCAGATTTTCCAGGGACGATCTTCCCACTAGTGTTAGTGACCCACAATGGTGTGAACATTTGGAGAGTTAGCTCTGAGCCTGCTGCTGTGTTTGAACCTTTATGTACAAACAAACCTTTGCATAGTATTAAAGCATGGAAGTGATCTTTGTACAATGTGTTTTTTTTTGAGTAAGACCCATGGAAACTTGAAATTGCCTAAACTCAATCTCTGAGAGTGCTGGTAGGAAAGAGGGTTTTGTATCCTATTTGCTTTGTTTTGTTTGTTTTTTGAGACAGGCAGTTTAGGCTCGCCTTGAGCTCACTTTGTAGCCCAGGTTAGTCTCGAACTCACAAAGATCCTCCTGCGTCAGCCTCCTGAGTGCTGAGATTACAAATGTGCACCACTGCGCCCAGCCCATTTGCTTTTAATATGGGAATATAAGCCTAAACCTCTATGATTTTTCACTTATGGCCCTTTTTGATAGAATAGAGTTTTATTTTTGCTTCAGTATAATTTTTCCTTTTAAAATGAGGACTTTCAGTGTGCATCTTACTTCAAAGGCAAAGAGTCACTTGTGTTGATGTTGGCTTGAGTTGAGCAGAGTACAGCCAGACATCCCTTCAGTGGGAGATGGCTCCAAGTAAACAAGCAGAAGAAAGCACATATGGCTTTTTGGCAACAAGATAATTTCAAAACACCTTCTAAAAACAGATGAAAAGGACTCCAGAACTGCAGATTGAGCCATGACGTGATTTTCACTGTTCAGTACTTTTTTTTTTTTCTGTCTTTTTCAGATAGGGTCTCACTCTGCAGTTCAGGCTGGCCTTGGCTCACTTTGTAGCCCAGGCTGGTCTTGAACTCACAATGCTCCTCCTGCCTCAGCCTCCCGAGTGCTGGGATTACAGGAGTGCACCACCACGCCCGACTCACGGTTCAGTACTTCTGACAGATAAATAGTTCCTGTTGAAGAACGAGAAGTAGCTGGGCCTGGTGGCGCACGCCTGTAATCCCAGCACTCGGGAGGCTGAGGCAGGAGGATCATTGCGAGTTCAAGACCAGCCTGGGCTACAAACTGAGCTCAATGCCAGCCTGAACTGCATAGTGAGACCCTGTCTCAGAAAGACAAAAAAGCAAAAGAAACAACAGCAACAACAAGAAAAACGAGCAGTATAATACATATATGGAGTGGTATCTGAGACCAGCAGGAACATACCCAAGTGGAAATAAAGCATAATGTAAAGTTGTATGTGCCGTGTGAAGGATTTTTGAAACATTGAGACTTGGAAGGAAACATGCCAGAATGCTAGCAGTGGTGATCCCCCGGGCATCAGATTATGTGTTATGTTTTCTTCTGGTTCTTTATACCTGCTCTACTTTCCAAAGTCTGCACAAACACATTGATGTAAACTATATAAGCAGAAAAGTAGAAAACATCTATATTTTCCAAAAATTTTATAGTGAGAATATATTGTAACAACAACAAAATCATCACCTTATTTTAAATAAATGCAATGTCAAGACACCAGCTATCTAAGTGGATAGTTTATAATGAAGAAAAAGAAAGGAGCACTTGGTTGAAATGGTAGGAACTGGGCAGAGGGCAAAGGAACCTTCCCTTTGCACTTGGGAAGAGCCCCAGCCCTTCCCTCTGCCAGCACCGAGACCTTGAGCCTCTCGTTTCTCCTCCTAGGCTTCGCTTTCACACCCGAAGTGAGGGTAACTTCTGAAGTCTCACATGATGTGAATTTTTGCAATTCCAGTTTTACTACCATCGTTGACTTTGGGGAGGAAATTGGAACAAATTAAAGGTCTGTCAAGAGCTTAGAGCTCACTGGACTACGGCCTGAAATATAATTGAAGGTGGTTTGCAGGACACTAAGATCTAATGATGCAAGAGAATAAGAGATGAGAGTTGGCGTTTGAAGGCTTTTCCTCCAGGTGAAAGCTGGTGCTTGTGAGACTGGGATGTAGTTTGTCACATAGAGGTTTCTGCTAGGCTAGTACAGGTCAAATGAGGGTTCTGGAGCCTCCTTGGGGGTCATGTTTTGCATTATCGCGCTGTAGTTGATAGGAATGGAATCTGAGGTTCTCTGCTTGCTGTGTTATCCTCTTTTCCTTTTCAGAGGAGGTGAAGAAGGGACTTGGTAGGGCCTATTAAAGGGGAATGCTGGTAAAATGAGGTGATGGGTGTTCTGGCCTGAAGTCCTCACTGCAGAGGTGTCTAGGAGATCGGTGGCGAAGAGACAGTCTGTGTGCTGGCACTGTATTGTCCCCGCCCTTCTAATAGGCATTGGCTTTCCAAATTTTGTATTCTGTGGTTGGTAAGCATTTTAGATATCATGGGAGAAAGCTGAAATAGTAAATAAATGTCTCTTGAATGCTAATCTTTTTTTAAAGAGGGGCTGAGGATTTAGCTCAGCGGCACAGCGCCTGCCTGGCAAGTGCAAGGTTGTGAGTTCGATTCCCAGTACCGGAAACCACTCCCCCGACCAAAAAAAAGAAATCTTTTTTTAAAGAAAATTTGAAAACAACACATATAAGCTGGGCATGGTGGTGCATGCCTATATACCAGCCCTCAGGAAGCTGAGGCAGGAAGATCACTGTGAGTTTGAGCCCAGCCTGGACTACCTAGTGAATTCAAGGCCAGCACAAACTACATAGAGAGAACCTGTCTCAAAAGAAAAACAACAACAAAAAACTCACATTATATGGTTTTGTACTTTAAGTGGTATTTATTATGAAGTCTTTACTTTAAGCCTGTCTCATGTAGCAGGGACACTACAGTATAATAGAAGCTGTAAGCAAAACAGAATTCTTTGATGATTTGGAAGAAGGGAGCGGATGTTTGATCAGTAGATTTTCCTACAGTGAAATGAAGCCTTGAAAAATAGATTGAGCTGGGCAAGTGCAAGGCCAGCCTGGCCTACATAGTGAGTCCACGCCAGCCTGAACCACATAGCAAGACCCTGTCTCCAATAAACAAAGAAAGAAAAATTGATTAAAGCTTAGAGGCCTCACATTTCAAGACAAATATTTCATCAAATTCATTCTAGTGTCCCCCCCTTGAATGAAAAATAGCCAAAATATTGGGGCTTGAATCTAGTGATGTCAGACATGACGATGTCTGTGGGATGGGTGGTGTGGGGTTCAGGTAGGCTGTGTGGGAGTGGTACGAGCTAGTTAGTGTCTTGATTACAGGTTAGTAGTAATTTTTTTCTTATCCTCATTGTGTATATAATCAATTTGATAGAGGGGATTTTCTTTCATGTTTAATTGAAAATGTACTAAAACTTAATGGACAGGTGCAAAAAATAAATCCTCTTTTGCAACCCAGAGCTCTTGTTCGGTACAAGTTTTGAGACATAACAGAAGGAATATTACTGCTAGGCACAGTGGTGCAAGTCGGTGATCCTGGGACTCCGAGGCTGAGGAGAGAAGAATGAAGCTTGGACTGTATCATGAGAGTCTACCTCAGAAAACAAAGCAAAAACGAAAAATTACCATAACCTAACACAAGCTAAAGTGATGGTGTTAACTAGTAAAAAAAGAAAGGGCTAGTAAATGAGCATTGTAGACATTTCATAGTAAAAAAATAAAAATTACTAACAGCTTACTCCCAGAGGTGCAGTTGTTAAGCAATGGTCTGAGTCCTGTAGATACTTTTTGTGCCTGTGGAGGCGTATCTCTGGGTGCACACATGCGTGCAATCACACACAAAGGTGACATTCTGTGATTTCATAAAAAGGTTTAAAAGAGTTGTGTTTTAGGTTACGTATTACCCTTGACTTAATATTTTATGCCCCTGAGTAAAAATAAAATACAGCCATTGGTTTGTGTGTGTCATAGATAAATAATACACTTTTTCATAGCATTTTATTTAGCTAATAAAAGAACTGCAATTAGGGAAAGCCTGATTGTAGGAATGAAGAAAAGTAACCTGAAATTTAAGTGTCTTGCCTACCAGTAAGTTATGCCAGCATAGAAAATTCACTATAATTGCCCTCCGACGTATTTGTACAGGTGCTAGAGAAACAGGCGGTGGTGGCATTGCCAGCCAGCCTTTCCTCAGGTCCAGGATCACCTTCAAGGTCTTCACTGCGCTGCATCGTTGTCGCTCCAAAAGCACGGAGCGGAGCAGTCGAAGCTCGATTTGCGCACGTGTGGTTGAGACCGCATCCCTTTCTGAGTTCAGGATGTCCTTACCATCAATCGATACACGCGCCGCCAGGACTGAGCTGATACAAGCACAAGGGTCGAATAGCACTGCTCTTTGAAAGTCACTTTGCTTGCGAAATTAAAATGCCAATCTGATAGTTTAAAATATAGACTAAAAAACAGACTCAAGAGTTTCAAGTGATCTGGAAAATGGTATTGGATTGAACAGCTGCATTTACATTTCCTTCCTCCCCAAACCTCACATACACACATACATACATACACACACACACATACACACACACACACACACACACACACACACACACCTGCCAGAGACAAACAGAACAACGGGAAAAGCATCGTAAGCTGAGAGCGCCTTGGATGAGAACTCACTGATGAAGCGTGTGCTGGAAGGCAGGCTTCTGGGAACTACATAATCTTTTGGGGGTCTCAGTTTACCTCCAAAAGGTTCAGCTGTTATAGCTGAATATGGCTATTACAGGTATATATTAATAGCTATATTTGAATATAGCTATTACAGGTATCATTTATCTAATGTAAACAACTAAATTATAACTAAATTGTAATGTGACCCTGTTGGGAAAATGTGGATAGGATGTGTGCGGGGTAAGGTCAGAATTGTGAAGGAATTTAATCCTCATCTTCCATAACAGGAAACACATAGATAAGGCCTAAAAATGAAATATTAGGGTGTAACAGCCTCATCAGTCCCCGGTGCCCAAAGATAGCTGAACAAATTGAAAAGAATTGAATGTGGCTGTCTCTGGAGAGAGGAGAATGGGTCTGTCATCTTGTCCTAGGGGTGCTGGGAGACAAAGTTTCACGGGACTGACAGTAACAATTTTTTAAAGATAATGTGCTCTTGATGTTACGTTCCTGTGTAAATTTAGAAACTTTTGTTTGAAATTTAAAGTTTTAAAGTCACTATGTAAGGCAGGCGTGCTGGCACACACCTGTAATCCCAGCCCTCAGGAGGCTGAAACAGGAGGATCATTGTGACTTGGAGGCTAACCTGGGCTACAAAGTGAGTTCAGGGCCAGCCTGAACTACGTAACAAGACCTGGTTTCAAAAACCAACAACAAAATAAAGTCACTATTCTTCATGTAGCATCGTAATGCCTAATTTTTTTTAAAACATTTTTATAATATCACCTAAATTTACACGCATGTTAAGATCTTTTGTCTAAAATTTAATGAACTGTGATGATTCTGATATTGAATCTTATTTGTGGATGACGTGAGTATACTCTTTTTTTTTTTTTTAATATATGTAAGATTGCAGGCCTAAGTCTACCTCTTCCTCCCAAAAAACTGATTGGAAACATGGATCGTGAATTCATAGCTGAGAGACAGAAAGGTCTTCAGAACTATCTCAACGTTATCACCACAAATCATATGTTGTCTAATTGTGAGCTGGTTAAGAAGTTTTTAGATCCAAACAACTATTCTGCAAACTACACTGGTAAGCATAAGAGTCCACGAGCTCTGGTCGGATGGGGCTGTGTTCGTAGCTGTTGATGTCAGGGGGACAAACTACTTCCAGATGGGAAAAGGACACCTGTGTAACAGGGTGCTGTTTATTTACAAAGACTTACTTGATTGTAATTTTCTGTAGATTTATAAGAACACACTTCTTTCTGAAAATGTTTGTAATATATCCACGAAAAATATGAAGGAAAGTATTATACTTATGTAGTTACAGTCTTGTCTTTATCTTCTTCTGACAGAACAGAGGGTAAGTAATCCACAGTCATGTATACAGTCGTCTCAGTTTGACTCTGTTGCTTGTATTTACAGTGTACAGTGTGTCTGGTTTTTCCAGGGATTTATTCCTGTGTCTCCCCATTTGCTCCCTAGGGACCTTGCGGTGCAAAGCACAGAGGCTGGCTCTCTGCCACATCTTTTGCTTATCAGGGAGCCCCCAGGGGTCTCGGGTGGAAAAGGCTTCTTTTCCGATACGGATCACATACAGCTTCAGCATCAGCAGGCTTAGTCTGATGGCAGCAGGAGAAAGAACTAAATGTTTAATATACTGTCTGGTATTGCCTTGCAGAGATCAATCAAAACCATTGTAGATCTGAACCAATGAATAGGATTCAATCGATTGGTTAAAGCAACTCATGCATAGTTTTTCTAAGTGGAACATGGGCATTGTTCATTTCCTTGCTAAGTGAATAGTTTTTTGCGTTTTGTGCTTGAGATCAAGCCCAAGAACCTGTACATGGTAGGTCAGTGCTCAAGAGAAGAGGTTTTATCAGATAACGGTTTCGGGGCTGGGGATTTAGCTCAGCGGCACAGTGCCTGCCTGGCAAGCGCAACGTCATGAGTTCCATTTCTGGTACCGGAAAAAAAAAAAAAAAAAAGAAACAAAACAAAGGAAAAGCTTGAACAACAGATAACTGGGTTTCAGAACATTGCTTTGAGTGGCAGAGCACCTGCTTGGCGTGTGCAAGGCCTGGGGTTGATCTCCAGCATCTGAGCAAACAAAGAAAACATTGCTTTTGTTGTAATTAGAGGGGGGCACTTGTTATTTCTGTTTGTTTCAGAGGGAGGAATAGAGACCTACTTATTTAGACTCTGAACTTTTCTGCATAATACAATCACCTGGGAGGCTTTAAAAAAATCCTGTTGCCCAGGCTGTAGGCATGCCAATTAAATCAGGATCTCTGCAGAAGGGGCTTGTGATGTGTAAAGTTTCCCAGGTGACTCCACTATGCTACCAAGTTTGAGAGGCCTGCTCCTCACAGTGTTGTTCTCTGGTGGGGCTGATTTGGTAAGTCAGTCAGGATGACTTGCTGACAGTTTTGGGAATAACTGCGATGAGGTGAAATAAGCACTCCTCCTAGCTACATTCTTGGCATCATGAGAAGTGGCTGAAAGTGCAGGATTCCAGCTTCATCCCAGACCTGCTGAGTTGGGACCTTTGCACGCGCATTAAAGTGTGAAGAGCTGCCTCTGTGTACCCGCCGTCTGCTAGTGAGGTGCTGTGTAGGGCTGAGAAGAATGCCTTTCCAGAATGTAGCCAGGAGAAGGAGAACTTATTTCACCTCATCTCGATTGTTGCCCAAATTGTCGGCAAGTCATCCTGATTGACCTACCGTCAGCCCCACCTCAGTGCTAGTCATGTTGTCCACATTCTTTCCCGAGAGAGGCTGCTGGCGTTCTGAAGGCAGGCATCGGAATGCCTTGCACATGTAATTACGCCATTCGCTCAGCAGACATCAGCTATCTGCTACACCATGTGCCAGAGGCAGGGCTGAGAGCTGGGGGTGTAGGCTCGGAGCAGATGCACTGACCGCAGTCATGGAGCTTGTGCCGGGAGTACATCGAGTCACCTGGATCAGTGCTGGAAGAGATCTTGGGACTGTTTGATCAGGGTTACCCCCCATTCCTTCTTCTTTTTTTGGTGTGTGTGTGGTTTTGGGTTTTTGAGACAGAGTCTGGCTATGCAGTTCAGGCTGGCCTTGAACTTACTGTGTTGCCTAAGGTGGTCTTGAACTCATGGCAGTCCTCCTGCCTCAGTCTCTGAGTGCTAGGATTACAAGCATGCACCACCACACCCAGCCTCCTTGTCCTTTTAGAGATAAGGGAACCACGATCCCCAGAGAGGGAGGGCCTTACTTAGCCTTTTGCATTTGTGTGACTGTTGTTTGAGCTGAGATTTTTTGCGTTAAAAACCTAGGCCTCTGGAATGTTGTCTGATCCCAGTTTCTCCTCCCACTGCACCTCCACACGCTGCACCTCTTCCACAGTGTCCCTGAGCTCTCTTCCCCGCAGCACGGCAGATGATCAAGAGTCCAAAGTTAATGTGAGCAGGGTAATAAAAAGGCCACCAGGACACCCACCAAAATCCAGGCGCATAAGAGCCCAGCTTCTAGTTAAAGGGCAGAGTCCTAAATGAAGCAGGAGGTGAAGAATACTGTTTTCAGAAAGATGCTGATTTATTCCCCCTTTCAATGAAATATTAGAACCTGCCTTGCCTCTTAGCTGACTCACCTGCTATTGTCAGGCCACCTCCTCTGTGCAGCTTGACCAGACCTTTCCTGAAATGCTCAGTACAGTGGCGCCCCTGCGTCCCTGGGGCACTGTGCCTGTGAGTGTGGACAGTGTCTCCTCCTCAGTTTCCAGATCGCCTGTGGTCTCCACCCAGCTTGGTTTCAGTGGGGTTTGAGCCCATGTTCACGTGGCAGCCAAGCTCCACAGTCACTTTTCTTGCTCACTGCTGTAACTGGGCCTGGGGTTCCTGTCAGAGGGGACTGTGCTGACACACGTCCCCAGGGGATGGGGGGCTCGAGCGCTCAGGACATCAGCATCTGCCTTGTGTCTACCAGAGACCCAGCCTGGAATCGCTGGGTCTTTCATTCTTTTCCTATTTTTTTCCAGATGACCAAATGCACAGAAGGTACATGTAGGCCCTTGGTCCTTTGTGGGGAGTTGTCAGATATTTGTTTAATTAGGAAATCTGAGCGAGGGCCAGCGTTGGACAGGGAGGACGGGTGTCTCACAGTCATGAGGAGTGTATTGAGAAACACACGAGGAATACCATCATCGACTTACTAAAAGGCTGCTTCTGTCATTTAAAAGCCTCTGTGCCCTGCAGCCATCTTCCCTTCTCAAATTTCCATGTCTCCTCAGAGAAAAGGGGCTCTTAATACCTACGCGAAAGTCATTTGAACCAGAAATTAGGAGACCTGGATCCTGTTTGCAAGTTTGTCAGCAGCAACATTTTCCTCAGGGGTCGCCAGCATCCTGATGTACAAAACCAGAGGCTGGGCAGGGGAGAACGGACCAGGGCATATTGAAATTCTCTTCTAGCACTAAAATCCCAGAAATCTGTTAAATAGTGGGATAAAGGGAGGGAGAGACTAGGGGTAGGAGATCATATTCAAAACAAGCAGGGTGCTTTAGAGAGGGTGGGATCCAGGAGGTGAAAGACAGCCTTCCGGGAGCACCCAGAACACCTGAGCCTCCTGGTGTAACAAACAGCGCGAGAGGCAGAGACCAGCAGAGACCACCAGGCTGTGTAAAGGCAGCATGGCGCAGAATTTATTGTGCCTGGGTGCAGGCAGACAGAGGGCAAAAAGACCCTCTGTGGGGAGCAAAGTGGTCGAAGTTCTGCGGCTGTCTTGTACCTCAGTGAGCAGAGTCCTTGAGGCGCCCACTGTACATTTTTGGGTGTCTCCAGATGTCCCCAGATCTGCAAAATTCCTTGTCCTATCTTACCTCCTTTACTACATCCCATGCTTGCTGATGACCGCCGTAGTGCTGAGCTGGATTCCTGCTGAGAGTCCTATCTCTGCTGCCATGCAGGTTGAGGGCTGGGAGAGTCAGGTCCGGTTCTATCCTTGCAGTGGGAAGGATGCCCTGGAAGGCTTTGTTCTACTTTTCTGTCTTGCAGTGGTTTCTCAGCACTCCATATGTGTCCACTGGTGCTGAAGAAATAGAGGGCACAGGCCCTACTTTCCATGGGGTTCATGCTCTAATGAGCGGCCCATATCCATCTCCGTGGTTTGAACCTTTAGTTCTTTCTTTATGAAAAATTTATGAAGTACTTACTATATGCCAGGTGCTGCATATGTGGCAAGGAGAAAGGAACAGCCCCTCCCCCACAGTCCTGCCATCCCTGGGCGCTTACACAAGGAGGTGACCCTTGAAGCTTGCGGTCGTAAATGGGGGACAACACCTTCGCAGGGGGAAGTGGGGGAGGCCTGGGAGTTGCAGATAGTCCAGACCTGGGGATGGAGAACTTTCAGAAGAGCTGAGAGCCGCCCTGAAGGCTGACTTGTGAGTGGAAGTTAGCCTGACGGGGAGAGAAGTCTCTCCAAGTGGCTGTGGGCTTTCCCCAGGTTAGGAGGTGCCCTTCTAGCCAGACCGGGCAGGCTAGTGGAGGAGAGTAGCCACTGCAGTGAGGGGGTAGCTCCGTAAGAGACGGCGTCCTGGAGAGGCGAGCGAGCAGTAGGGCGGGGCGGAGCATGGAAGGTGAGGTGGGCTGGGTGGAAAATGCAAGTGGGACTGAGCAAGTCCACTTTGGATCCCAGCGGGGGAGGCAAACCTCGGAGCGCAGAATGGGGTAGCACACAGTGGGAGATAAAGCCAGAAAGACAGGTTAAGCCAGAGGCATGTTGGACACCAGGTTTAACAGGGTAGTGTTGATTTGGTAAGGAAGTGAGGAACCAGTAAAGGCTTCTGAGCAGAGGTGTTGAGGGTTGAAATGTGCTGACTGAGTCTGGGGAGGGAGGACATTAACACTGGGAACATGGCAGCCATGCCATTTGTTTGACAGTAAGTCACAGACCAGTGGAAAGAAAATGTCATTTCTCCAGTTCTATAACCTCTAAGTTGGTAAAAAAAGAAAAAGAATCTATTTCTTAGTAAAAATTTAGCATGCTCCGTTTGTTGACTAATATTTCCCCATTCTTAAAACAATGTGTGGTACATAATGACAGAAAGTAAATGTTGATAAATGGTTTTGTAGGGAGTTAGGCTCACTGGTAATTTTAAACAACTGTCTAACAGTCTCTTGAAATGACATTGCACTGCATTAGAAAATTACTTTTCGCTCTCCTTCTCAAAGTTGATGTGAATAATTTTAACTTAAAATAATTTCAAGTTTGCTTTCAAGTTATTTTGGAAATACTAAAAACTCTTTATATCAGCATTGTTATAGAGGAGGTGCGGCTTCTCAGAGATGTTAATAAGAATGTATAATGGCTTGTTGCACCCTAGGGTACTGACGTAAATGTACATTTTGTCATCACTTGTTTACTCCTGAGCAGGGAACGTACTGCCGAGTCATACTGAGTCAGTAAACAGATGGCCAGTAACCTATCTTCTCAAATCTCTTAATGCAAAAGGAGCTATAAAATACACCAAATACTGTTCGCCGTGCTCTCAGCACGCGAATTCCAGAGGAGGTCTTCGATTTAGGGAGAACATTTCTGGCGACTCCCTCATGCCTACTCTCCCTGGAACGCAGTTGACGCCAGGCAGAGGTGAAGTTCCACAGTGCGCTGGGAATATTGCTGCGTGCTTTCAGGAATCGGGAGTGGCTTCATTTACTGCCACTGAAAGGAAGTGGCAACTTACAGATGTGCTTTTCTCAGGAAATATAAAAAAGCGCAGTTACGCTGATAAGTTTCTTAGTACAATGAACTTTAAAGAACTTCCTCTTCTCATTGCCATCTGTAAAGGGGGAAGCATTCGCATGATAGATGAGCGCTGAGAAAAAGCAGGGATATTTTTTCCGGTAAATAGACACTCAGTGACTTCGCACAATAGAGCTGTTGTTGCTGAATGTACATGTTTTTCTAAAACACTGGCTTTTGTTGCCAGTATATATTTAAGGCTAATCATTTCTTTGTTGGTGAAAACTATAACTTCATGAGGAGTGAAGATGGATAAATATCACTTGGAACATTAAATGCTGTTCCAGCCTGACCTTAGAACATATTTTGAATCTTGGGCTTGGGTTGTGGTCTGGTGCGTATATCGAATTCTTGTCTTAGGCCAGCTACTTTACGTGTTTTAGATTTTTCCAATTTTAAAAACTATGTATTTTCTTGTCAGTAATAATTGTATTGTTTGCTTTTTAAATACATTTAATTTTCAAATAATTTTACAAAGAAGTTGCCGTGATAGTAATGTTTCCGTGTGTGCCCTTCCACCAGTTTCACCGGTGCTAACATCTTCTATACCTGATGCGGGAAAATACAGCTCCCGACTTGTTAAATGTCAAATGTGCACAGTAGGTGGCCTTACTACACTGAGGGATGAGGTCACAAACCAAGGAAGTTAGGAGAGAGTGTCATTGGCAGTAAGGAGAAGGAGAATCGCTCCCGGATTTTCAGGAGGGGTCCTTTGTCACGAGTAATTTGCAGAGCGAAACCACCGTGTGGGTCAGGCTCCAGTTAACCTGTAGGATTGCAAACAGAGCCGCTTAGCTAATACTGATCCAGTGGGGAAGTGAGTCATGTAGACAGGGTGCATGGAAAGATCAAAGGAATTCTTGGAAAGGAGAGGAGTATGGATCCGGACCCTCTGGTCAGCCACCTACGTGCTCGGTGCCTGTCTGGGCCCACCGGACCAGATGGTGCTGATTACAGCACAGTCGCTGCTGTTTATCTCTAGGGAGGCGCACAGGCCTGGCTATTGCTTCTCCATCCCGAGGCCTGGCTCTCCAGATTTGCCTCCAGCCACATTCTGATGTCTGTATTTTTTGTGCCGATGTCCTCGAGGACTGTATATTAATATCTGTGGAACTTAGCTGCCTACAATATAACCATACTTTTTTAAAATCAAAACTGAGACATTAACCTTGGTAAATCTAATACAGGCATTACTCAGATTTCATCAGTTTTCCACTAATGTGCTTTATCTCTTCCAAGGTCCAATCTACAATTCCACCATTGTTTTCAGTTTTCTTCTTTTTTTTTCTTATTTTTTGTAATTAAATATTTCAAGGAGGTCATAGACTGTAAGGGTTTAGTTTGTGAAGAATTCTAAAGCATAGGACTCTTTCATAATAAGTCTGACTAATGAGTTTCAAAAATGTCTTTGCAGAAATTGCCTTACAACAGGTCTCCATGTTCTTCCGATCAGAACCAAAGTGGGAGGTCGTAGAACCGTTGAAAGACATAGGTGAGAAACTGGCTGCTCGATCTGTGTTTTCTTGCAGGTGAACATGGATAGAAGAGCTAGAACACTCAATAGGCTCGAGAGAACAGACGGGTACAAAGAATTTCAGTGCAGGGCAAAATTGCATGGTTCTACCACAGATCAGAGGCATTTAAAAATTATATTTATAATTCAATCCAGACCTCAGAACTGGATTCTTAGTAATGGATTTGGATTCCTATCCCAGAAAAGCTCTTACACTCCGATGAAGTGTAATATCTGTGGAACCTTCTTGTCCTTTTTGCCTCCCTGTTGCTTGAGGATACAGACCTTAACTTTTAATGCTTCATCTTGGTTAAAGCCCCAGCAGAGGGATTTGGATGGCAGTAACTTTGACAACCACCACTTACTATCTGTCCTTTTCACTGAATCTTAACTGAAACACTGTTCCACTGTTTCCAAGAAGAGAGCCATTTCTTTGTTGTTCTTGAGCATAGCCTCTACCAGTTACCATTTGGTAATGGTTGTTTTCCAAGTGCTTACACGGCTGTGGGTAACATAGACAAACTTAATTTTGATTAGTTGTTTAAGTCATCTGTTGTAAAAATTATGGAGCTACAAACTTATTTGTGCTTTTATGGCAGGCTGGAGGATTAGGAAAAAATACTTCTTGATGAAGATTAAAAATCAGCCAAAGGAACGGCTGGTATTAAGCTGGGTAAGCTAATTCTTGGCTTCCGTTTTATTTCAGGAAATTTGGATCTCTGACAAGAGGGTTATAGAACTGTACTGCAGACCTCAGTGATAATGTCAGGGTTTCCTCAGTCCCACATCAAACGACAATCATTTTAAGTCACTTTGCTCTTTATTTGGTTATATAGATCTATTGAGTCAGCTAGTAGACATTTGGAAAAAAACCAGAAACATCTTAAGATAGTTCTGTGGAAATCTCTTTAAGGTGGACAGTTTTGGAGTTTACCTCCAAAGAAAATATTTGGGCATTACTTTCTCCCCAGTTGGGGTGTTCTAGGGATACATTTGGTCAGTGGGACCACGTATGATTACAGTAAAGTCCTGGTATGTGTTTGTTTATGCACTACCTCTCCAGAAAGGCCTTGAGGAGCAACACTTCATTTGGGTTTACAGTCAGGTACCTGGATGGCGTATTAGAGGGAATGATTTAAAAGAATTTTTCTTCTGATGACCAAGGCAGTGCCCTGATTTTTCCTCTCATGTTTCCAGGCTGACCTTGGCCCTGACAAGTACTTGTCAGATAAAGACTTTCAGTGTCTAATCAAACTTCTGCCTTCCTGTTTGGTAAGTATGAGTGCTAGTATTACTTTCAGTGGTAATCACAGCCTTGCAGTGCTTTCTTGCAGGTGAACAGGGATAGCAGAGCTAGAATACTCAGTAGGCTCGAGAGAACAGACAGGTACAGAGAATTTCAGTGCAGGGCAAAATTGCATGGTTCTACCACAGATCAGAGGCATTTAAAAATTATATTTATAGCCAGGCGCATGTCTGTAATCTCAGCACTCAGGAAGCTGAGGCAGGAGGATCACTGCCAAGTTTGAGGCTAGTCTGGGCTCCATAGTTCAAGGTCAGCCTGATAGTGAGACTATGTCTCAAGAGACTAATCAAAACAAAACAATGTTCTGTCACGCTAGTGAAACCAAGCTTTTAATGAGGTATGATGGATGGCCAAGGTAAATGCTGTCTTCTGGAGTTTGGTTGCATGACACAAACTGTCAGCACAAACTTTTAAGCCCAGCTCCCTCCCCTTCTCTCCCCTTCCCTCTCTTCCCATCCCCTCTCCTTTCCTTCCTTCTTTCCTTCTTTCCTCCCTCCCTTCCTCTCTTCCTTCCCTTTTTTCTTTTTTGTGGTGCTAGGGATTAAACCCACGCCCTTGATCATGCTAGGCAAGTATTCACCTTCTGAATTGTGTCCCCAGCACCTTATATTTCCTTTAATAAAGATCTGCTTCTTACAAAACATAGTTCATACAAGAGTACATTAATTATAAAAGGCAGAAGGCACAGAAGAATAAAAATAAGAAAATGAAACTCACCTGAGATTACATCCCAACCAACTAGATACAGGAACCAAAATGTTACTGTCTTAGAATTTTTGTATAATTTTTTTTTTAAATGTATATTTATGGTTTTAAAACCCAGTGTTTTTTCATTAATGGCACACCATGATCCTTAGTTGATAGTAAATCTAGTACAACACCATTATTACTGATTACATAGAACTGCCATTGGCTGTACCTTCGTTTTCTCAACTGATTTAGTTGAGTAAACTTCCAGCTATGTGGAAGACTGAGGCAGGAGGACTGCAAATTTGAGGCAAGCCAGGGTAACAAAACAGTACCTTGTCTCAAAATAAAATGTGGAAGGGCTGGGGATATCACTCAGTGCAAAGGTCCTGGTCTCAGCCTCCAGAAGCGGAAGGAAAAAAGGCAAAATAACCAGTTTAGCTCACCATTTGTACCCAGGCTTGTTCTCCAAGGATAAATACCCAGAATTGAAAGTAACATGTGGGAAGGTAATTTGAGACTATTAGAATATCCTGCATCGAATTCACTAGTTTGAGCATTCTTCATGCCTCCGGTACTTACTAGTTGGTATTCTACCATAAAGAAGACAATCCCTGGGCCGGGGATATAGCTCAGCGGCACAGCACCTGCCTGGCAAGCACAAGGTCCTGAGTTTGATTCCTGGTACCAGAACAAAAGACCATCCCTTCTTCCTTCCTCTATTCTTTCTCCCACTCCTTTTGTGAGAGGTTGCTGGGATCAAACTTAGGCCTCATGCATGCTAGCCAAGTGCTATATCACTGAACTGTACCCACAAAGCCCTTTTACTTACATCAGTATGGATTCAGGGATTTTTTTATTCCATTCCTTTAATTTCTTTTTGGAGTGATGGAAATGTTCTATAACAGATTATGATGTCATATAGCTGTGAATATACTGAAACTATTTGGTTGGCTACTTTAAATAGGTGAGTTGTAATGATACGTGAATCCTATCTTAATAAAGCTGTGAAACTCAGCAACAACCATTCAGAAACTTGGTGGTCAGTTACTACATTTTCTTGGACACACACACACCATTCCACCCTTGCCTATCCCCTTTGTGTCCCAAATCCCTGTATTCTTAGCTCCCATGGGTTTAAATTGTCATAATACTCCTTTGAGCCTAGTGGGCATTGTAATACTGTCCGAAGCCAGTTCATGCCGGCTCAGATGAGGACTTTCCTTTTACGCATTAAGTAATTTGTCTTTTCCCCACCCTACTTGCTTTACATCAGTGTCCTCATCTGAGAGGGTACTGGGATTCATCATATTGCAGATGTCTGTAGAAGGGCAGGAGGATTCATGCCAGCTGCTTTCCAAAAGGGCTAAGATGCCAGAAGATGCTGCTTTTGTTTGTTTCCTGGCTGTCACGCTCCCTGACCTGGCATCCAGACAGCAGCAAGGAATACCAGGCAAAGCTGTGAGCAGACACTTTCGTCTGCATCCCTACTTGATTATTCTCAGCCTCGGCTGTATGTTTTGCCAGTTTATAGACAAAGAATATCAAAACCACTACTCCCAGCCAGGCACAGTGGTGCACGCCTGTAACCCCAGCACTCGGAGTCTGAGGTAGGAGGATTGCAATGAGTTTGAGGCCAGCCTGAGCTATAGAGTGAACTCAAGGCCACCCTGAACTACACAGTGAGACCCTGGCTCAAAAAACCCAAAACACAAAAGCAAAAAGCCACTACTCCCAAAACACAAACTTTTCCCGTCTTCCACCTTGCTTTAGCCTGAACTATAAGAGTGCATACACCAAAGCAGATATTTTCACAGGTAGAGCTCACTGTGCAAGCAGCTCGCACCAGTGGATAGGAAGCTGTGCACTCCTTTTGTCACTGCAGTTTATGTCCTCAGAAGGAGGAACTAGTTGGTCATCTCATAACTTGAAAATGCCATCTCTTCAGGGGGTGTCACATTTGTGTGCAGCAAAACCACCAAAGTGCTGCTTGAGTGCGTAAGCAGATTCTGGACCTAATAGGACTTAAATCTTGAGGTGAATCAACATGGGTTTCTTTTTTGTTTCGGCAGCACCCTTACATTTACCGGGTTACTTTTGCCACAGCTAGTGAATCCTCTGCACTGCTCATCAGGATGTTTAATGAAAAAGGAACTTTGAAAGATCTGATCTACAAGGTACTTGTGGGGCAAGTTCGTGATCAGTAAGTTCTCAAGAACCTGTTATTGATGCTATACCTAAGGTTCCAGAAGCAAGACCTTAAGGATTTACTTTAATTTTGATTTTGGTTGGAAAGATTTACCCAGTTTGGTTAAATAGTGTTCCTTTCCCTACCTGAGGGAAAGATGAGACATTTGGTGATTGTAGACTGCTGTCTTGGGTCAGTTTTAAAGTTTGTGGCTTGCACTTGTTAACAACTCAGTACTGAAGAGCTCTAACATTGTGCGAGGCTTGGGGAACTGCTGAGGCCAAGCCTGGGCACATCCCTGGAACAGAGAAAGGGCCAGAGCCCAGGTTAGCCTCTGTCAGAGACACTGACTGTTCCATTTTGTACTCCAGTCGCATGAGCTGGTCGTCTCTGCTTGGTGGTTCCTCTGCCACTTCCTTATGTATTCTTTGCTTTTCCTTACAGGCAAAACCAAAGGACCCATTCCTAAAGAAGTACTGCAACCCTAAGAAGATTCAGGGCCTTGAACTCCAGCAAATAAAAACATATGGACGGCAGATTCTAGAGGTAAGAGGTACTTAACTTCTGTGTAAGTTACACTGCAGTTTCATTCAAAATGTGTTCTTATGGCAAAGTTCTCAGGCAATATCCAAAATCACTGACATTGCCTGGTTATTTGTAAGTTGCTAATAAACATACTGTACCTCAACAGCCAAATATTTGAAGTGAAGGTATCAGTAGCTTAAATTCCAAAAGCTTTGGCTGTTGCAATTTTGTGTCTGATTTTTAAGAATTTTGCTGAGTGGATAACTTTTGGGTTACCTTAGGTTGATCTGTATCTCTGTGACAAGATTTTTTTATTTTATATCCTATGTATATAAACCTCTATCTCGCTTGCACAAGTGTGACCAGCAGTGATACCGTCTCCTATCAGGGCCGGAAACAAAGCTCAGTGTTAGCATGCTTATATGTAAGGCCTTGGCTTTGATCCCAAGCACCAAAAGAGAGACAGATAGAAGAAGAGAAGAGCCAAGGCAAGCCTTCCCCATTTCACTCTAGATCATGTTCTCCAGGCTTCTCGGGTGGTGCAGTAAAAATACTTGAGCATCACACTCCCCCATGTTATGTAAATTTAACTGTAAATTATATACATGACACTACTGCTAATACATTGTTAAACATAAGAGAAAAGAAGATTTTTAAAACCACGAAGAGCAGTTGTATTCTCTGCTTTTGGTCCTCCGTGCACTGCCCTGGGCACCTTAGCCGGTTTCTCCCGGTCTCTGCAGGATGTGTGGAGCCATCACTATTCCTGGGGAGCCACTGCTTGTTTCAGTGGCAGCTGCAGAGTCTCATTCTTTCTGTGGAAGCCTGCTGTGTGTTTCTGTTAATAAACAAGTTTGGCAAAGATGGGATGAGAGCTGTTTTCAGCTCGGTCCTCTTGTTGAGTAGCGGCAGCGGCACCGCGTGATGGCTTGTTCTTCGGGGCGAGAGGACCTCCCCGCCTGACGAGAGTTGGGATCAGACGGCATTTCCGGCAGAGACTTTGGCATCAGAGCTGCTCTGTCTGGCTGCTTGTCTGTTCTTTGGGAGCTTGGTGCCGGGAAGCATTCAGCATCACTCCCTTTCCCAAAGAGTGGAGGTGGCGTTTTTCTTCAGCAGTCTCCCCAGTGACCTGTTTGATTTTGGTTTGAAACATACACACCAGTTAAAGAAAAAAAAGTTCTTATTTGTTTTGTTTTGCTTGTGGTACTGAGGATTGAACCCAAGGCTTCCTACCGGGGGTTTAAGCCAGTGTCTCCTGCGTGTTAAGCACACACTCTGCCGCTGCGCTGCTCCCCCAGCGATTCCCTCTTGTGTCTGAATGAGTTGGGGGGAAATGTAACCTGCACATATTTGTTAACAGGTGCTAAAGTTTCTGCATGACAAGGGATTTCCTTACGGGCATCTTCACGCCTCGAACGTGATGCTCGATGGGAACACTTGCCGGCTGCTCGACCTTGAGAATTCCTTACTGGGCCTTCCTTCGTTCTACCGACCCTACTTCACGCAGTTCAGGAAAATCAGTGTAAGTTCCTCAGGTGGTCAAGCGGTAGTTCAATGTAGGTATACCCCACGACTGAGTTGAAAGGGCAGGCGGGGCAAGGAAGGGAGCAGAGTGATTGATTGGAAAACCGTAGAGGGTAGCACCACACCCTTTGGTTAGAAGGATGCCTTGTGAGCTGTTTTGTTTTGCTTTTTTGAGACAGTGTCTTGCTGTGTAGCTCAGGCTGGCCTTGAACTCACAGTGATCCTCTTGCCTTGGCCTCCTCGGTGTTGGAATTATAGGCATGCGCCACCGTGCCCCGCTGCCTTGTGAGCTTCTACAAAAGGATTTTGAGCTTCATTGGAGTGGGACTGCCCCAGGGCCTTGTTGCTCAGTGGAAGCCTGGGGCAGGAGCCTAGGAGCCATGAAGCCAAACTGAAAGATGACGTGGCACTGCTCTCTTTCCCTCACAGACATTGGAAAGTGTAGATGTCCACTGCTTCGGTCACTTACTGTACGAAATGACCTACGGACGACCACCTGACTCGGTGCCCGTGGACTCCTTTCCTCCTGCGCCGTCCATGGCTGTGGGTCAGTATGGGGTTTGGGCAGGTCTTGTAGGTCCTGGTAGTGTGCAGAGCTGCTCACCCGCTTTCAGGAGTCCAGGAAAGGCCCAGAGGAAGTTGCCACCCTCAACAGCCAGAAACACTGCAAATGGCTTGTTTGTCTGTCAGACCGAGGCCCTTAAGAAACTCTGTAAAATATTTAGAATTGTGGAAGCAAGTTGATGTAAAGAGTCTGAATCAGATACAGAAGCCAGGGCTGAGCAACTCGAGGCCAGTCTTGAGGACTCAGGCGAGTGTCAAGAGTCAGACCACAGCTGGCACGTGACTAGAAAGGAACACGGGCCACAGGCTGGGAGCCTGATAGGTAAGAGCCCAGCAGGCCCATCCAGGAGCTCAGACCCCACAAACTGGATCCTGGAGCTCTTCCAGAGGACTGATGGGAAGCACCTTGTGCAGGAACTGGTGCAGGCTCAGCTAGCTCAAGGCTTAGGGCCCGGCAGAGAAGGAAGGGCAGGTTATCTGTCAGACCACTGTACTTAGAATGTGCAAGTCAGCACTCTGGAGAGTGTCACCGTGTCAGATGAAGCAGCTCTGGAGAACGGGCCCTAAGCATCTCACAATTGGGGTTTGAATAACTGAAACTGAACAGTGTGCTGTGGTAGGAGTCTGGTTGCTCTTGTGTATAGCATCCAAGGTGTTAGATGATGAGGTAGCAACTAACCCTAACTCTCAAGTACTGGTTTTGATTATAAGCAAGCAAGCAGCAAAATGTCTTTCAAGTTTAGAATTCTGCTTCTGTGTAGTGTTTACTTCGCTTTTATGAGAACACTTTTATGAATGATATCTTGACTTCTTCCTCCAGTTAACATTGAAATGCATTTGGCTTTCTGTCAGCACGTGCTTTCTGAGGCGTGTTTTTGAGTCATCGGTGACTCCCGTGTTGCCATCGTTCCCCTCCCCCACATACGCCATCTGTCCGTGTGTGAAGTTTTGACACTGTTCTGATCAGCCTGCAGGCAGCTGTTGCAAAGCTCTGTCAAACTTTTCATCGCCCAGTGGATTTGCCAGCAGTGTTCCGTGGAACTAAAATGTGTATCTGTTCATTTCAAGTGGCCGTGTTGGAGTCTACGCTGTCTTGTGAAGCCTGTAAAAATGGCATGCCCACCGTCTCCCGGCTCTTACAGATGCCGTAAGTCAATCATACGCTTTGGTTGTCATCCTGATAACTGTGTGGAACCCTGGACCGCTGTGCGCCAGGGCCTGGTACTCAGCCGCTGTCCCTGCAGAGTTGAAGTGACCTGTTCCAGATGGTCACTCCAGCGCAGTCCCCTGACCGTTTCCTTGTCGGCGCTGTGCGCCCAGTCTGGTTGCTCTCCTTGAACATCAGCGTGCTTTCCTCGTGTGTCCCTTCTCGTCAGCGCTGGCATTGTGTGCGTACACGCGGCGCCCCAGCTTAGGAGAGGCCAAAGCAGTGCTCCTCCGTGCCTCTCCTTCCCGAGCCTCTCCTTCCCGAGCCCACTGCAGCGCAGCGGCTGGCAGCAGCCGAGGACAGTTCCCAAGTCACAGGGCCTCGCAGGGTCGGCCCCCCGAGGCGGCAGCGTGTTTCTGGGCTGCTGTGCCTTTGTCCACTTCCTCACTGGCTGTAATTCCCTAAGCACCTAGCTTGTACCCGGCACGTGCTGCAGACTCTGCACTCAAGGCGTCTGCCTTCAAGTTAGAATAGTGAGCGGGCTTTCCCGCGCCTGGTGCTCTTCTGTCCTGGCCAGCTTGTGATCTGACAGGTGTACTAAGGAGACAGTGACAGGAGCAGACAAGGCAAGGGAAAGCGTGTGTGTGCAGCAGAGTTCAGAGGGGCAGATTGCTGACTGCAGGCCCCGTATTCACTCTTCCTGTAAGTTGTTTTCTTTTGTTCTGTTTTGGTGTAGTTTGGTGAGGTTTGGTTTGGTTGGTTTTTGGTACTTGGAATTGAACCAGGGGTGCTGTACCACTGAGCTACTTCCCAACCCTTTTTAATCTAGAGAGGATGTTGCTAAGTTGCACAGGCTGGGCTTGAACTTGCATTTTTCTACTATTCTTCAGTTCTCCCATTCTCCTATTCTAATTCAAATATTTTTCCTTCACTGAAGTCTTTCTACCCTATGGACTTCAGCCTGGAGAGTAACAGTGGGAGAAGTGTGGCCTATGATCAATTAAAACGTGTTGTCTGGAAGCGGATGGAGGTGCGGCCGGGAGGGCCGGGGCTGTGAGGAGCGCTGAGGGAAAAGGGGGCCTTGTCCTTTCTGCTTGGATGAATTGCCTGTCCTTATGAAAGGAGGGCGATTCCAGGAAAGTCTGTATGTGCTTGCGCTCTCCAAGCAAGCGGTCTAGTCAGAGCAGTTCAGGGGTCCTCACACTATTGTTTTTCTGGCTTGTCGGGGGCGGGGCGCTGATCAGACCCTGGGCCTCATGCATGCTGGGCAAGTACTGTGCCCTTGAGCTATATCCTCAGCCCATGCTGTTCTTCATTTGTTTATTTATTTATTTTTGGTACTGGGAATCGAACTCAGGACCTTGTGCTTGACAGGCAGGTGCTGTGGCGCTGAGATACCTCTCCAGCCCCATGCTATTGGGTTTTTTCTTCCCCCTTTAAATTATTTATTTATATTTTAAAGAGAATAAAAAATAATTTAAAAAAAACTTTAGGAACAATACACGATTTCGAAGTACAAGATGATAGGAATTCAACAGTGGTTGTTATACTGCATATTTTTGTCTTCAAAGTAGTTGTTCAGATTATAAGATATAAGCATATAAAATTGGTCAGAAAATACTTAAGCATTAACTGTTCCTTTCAATAAACCAATGGAAATTAATAGTATGATTATATTAGCTATCTTGTGTATATTTTCCCTTCTTTCTTTTCTCTTTTTCCTCATCCCAGTTGTTCTTTCCTTTTAAGCAGTTTTTTTCTCTTTCACAATATCTATTATACCTTTTGGGTTTTATTTACTCTTTCAGTTTCTTACACTAAGGGAGACAGTATGATCTTTACACATGTGGACCTGGTTTATTTCGCTTAGGAGTATGGTCTCTAGTTGCATCCATTTACCTATAAAAGCCTCGAATTTATCTTTCTTTATACCCATGGTATTGTTTTTAATGACATACTTTTGAAGAAAATTTATATACCCCCAAGCAGCTATTTTTTTTAAATGAAGCATGAGAAGCAGTTGGAAGCAAATTATTTTTGTCTTAAATTCCAATCAGAATAATTCCTTTCTACTTACTTGAACATTTATCTTTTACTGCGCTCTAGAATAATTTTTATTGAGGCAAGAAAAAGAGAAAACAGCTATTCTGTTTTGAAGTATCTACTGCTTATATTTGCAATATCTTTGCAAATTGCTATTTACAAAAAAAAAAAAAAAAAGTTTTTCAAACACTGTATTGCCCTACAATGGGGAAACAACCTCTAGTCCCCAGCTGGCCCAGTCTCCTGGTGACACTCCCGAGGCAGGAGAGTCGGAGGGTCCTGAGGTCACACTTGATCTGTAAACTCCTTCGGCTTCTTGCTGCGCCTTGCAGGTGGATTGGCCGGGGCCGGGTGTGTGGTGGGAGAAGAGAGACTTCAGGGGCTAAAGGTGTCAAATCTGCTTTGATCCTAGTCCGGGAAGCACCTGGTTCAATGAATATTTTGTTGTTTCTTTTCCTTGCAGATTATTCAGTGATGTTTTACTGACCACTTCTGAAAAGCCACAGTTCAAGGTAAAGCAAATCATATCATTTTTTTAAAGCTTGTGACAAAAATAAGTTGGCTTTGAAAATCACCACTTTTAAACTAAAAAAGAAAAGGTATACAGTAGGGAAAATTGGGAAATATTCTTAATATCTCACAATTAAAGTCTAGTTTTATAATTTATAATGCATCTGTTTGAAGAAATTTTTATCGAATAAAGTGAAACTTAGACATTTTAGTAACATGGCAGTTATCATGATTTGGGCCAAGGTTTGAAAGATCAGGATATAACACACAATGTATAGAGCCGCCCATCTGTCTCTGGAGAGGAGTCTGGAAGGAAGTCCCGGGGCAGCGGTGGTGCTTGGGAAGGACTGAAAACTAGAGCGATGCCTTCCCGTGCTGTCAGGACGCTGGCCATTGTCTGTAGCGGCACTTTTCACACACGGGGCGTTTGACCTTTTGGGTCAGATAATTCTTGCTGTGGGAGCTGGCCTGCTCACTGCAGGGGGTGAAGCAGTGGCCTTGGCCTTCACCCCCAAATGCGTTCTGGCAGCCAGCGATGTCTCTACCAGACAGGGCTGGGGTGCAGTCAGCGGTGGAGTGCTAGCGTAGCATAGCCGAGGCCTGTGCTCATCCCCAGCGCTACACACAGCGAGCAAAGCAGTGAACATTTCATTGCTCCCGTCCAGCCTCTGCCCTGTGGACAAGCCGTAACCTTCGAGTCTGTGTGTGCTGCAGTGCTGAGTCCTGCCATTCTGCTGTCAGCGGACCGCTGAGGGTGTCCTTGGGAATTCCCGGTTCAGAGCCTGCTTCTGAGCAGTGTGCAGTTAGCGCTGACTGGAGGGGAGTGCGCTCCTCCTTTCTGTATTACAAAAGAACACGTCAAACCTTTATGAAAATAAAGTTAGAAAGACAAAGAAATAGAACCAGGGTGGGGGTAGAAGGTTGCATAGGAAAGAGACCCTCTTCCTGTCCTGTTTGCCACTTGGAGGAGTTCTGACAACAGCCTTTTTCTCTCTGAAGGAGGAAAGAGCTTGTTAAATTCAAATTCATCTCTTCACAGACACGTCTTAGGGAAATGTGTTCTCTCAGCAATAAACATGCTGTCCTGAAATCCTGATGTTCCAGCCCTCAGGATTCAGGGATTAGGATTAGATCTCAATCCTCCTCTAAAGCAGAGGGCCTCACAGCAAAAACAATGTGATTTTATTTTATTGATTGATCGATTGATTGATTGATTGGAACTGGGAATCGAACTCAGGACCATGCGCTTGCCAGGCAGGTGCTTGTGGTGCTGAGCTATATCCCTGGCCCAACAATGTGATTTTAGCTGGATGTGGTAGCACATGCTTGTAATCCCAGCACTTCCAGCAGTCATGAGGCTGAGGCAGGAGGATGAGTTTCAGGCCAATCTGGGCTACATGGTGAGTTTGGTGTTGCCCTGAACTGCATAGCAAGACCCTGTCTCCATAAACAAAACAAAACAAAAATGTGATTTTATTTATTTATTTATTTGGTACCAGGAATCAAACTCATGACCTCGTGCTTGCTAGGCAGGCACTGTACCGCTGAGCTATATATCCCTGGCAAAAATATGATTTTAAAAACCAGACACATCAGTGTCTTGAATATGCACTGGCTTTGTGTTAAGTTACACAGGAAATGGTGACAGGAGGTGGAGACCTTCCCCTGTGTATGTACCTTTTTATACATTTCAGATGTTGAGCCATTTGACTGTATTACTCAGTACTTTTTAAATTTAAGTTTGAAAAGAGTAATAAAAACTTCAGCATGACCTGGGTGTCTGTTTTCCAGGCCTCCACCTCTCATGGTTTAAAAAGATAATAAATTCAGGATGTGGTTAGCATTATTTCCCAACAGGAAAAAGGACTAATCTTGTGAAATTCAGAATATAAGCCTTACAGAGAAATTATGTCTAAATTTATAAAATACTGTAATTACTTGAATTTGTGTGTGTTCCAATAAACTTCATGTGTTTTAAAAATTGTAGCAAAAATCACATAATATAAAATCTACCTAACCTACTTAACATACGTGTATGTGTGTGTGTGTGTTGCACTGGGGATTAATTCTAGGACCTTGTACATGTTAGCCACGCCCTGTACCACTGAGCTACCTCCCAGCCCTTTATAAATTTTGAGACGGGGTCTCGGTAAGTTGCCCAGGCTGACCTTGAACTTGGATTGATTGCTCCTCAGCCTCCTGAATAGCTGAAATTATAAATGTGCATCACCACACCCAGCCTACCTAACCATTTGTGGGGGTACAGTTCAGTGGTGTAATTGTCTTCACGCTGTTGTGTAATGGACTGTACAGTGGAGCTCTATACCTGTAGAACAGTTTCCCATTTCCACCTCTCGCCGGCTCATGGTAACCATCGTCTTAGTTTTTGTTTCCATGACTTCGACTACTTTAGGTACCTGAGATAAGTAGAATCACATTATCTGTGGTATGTCATATTACGTTGTATTTGCTGACTGCTCCTCCTTGGTGCCAGGACTTCGACTGTCCACAACATTCTTCAGTGCAGGGTGTCCTCTCCTTTTCCGATTCCCACAAACTTAATGGAGTCGTTCAATATTTATATTTTTGTGATTAAATTATTTTACCTGGCATCATTTCATGATTTATCCATGTTATAACATATAACCACATCTGCTTTTTTTTTCTTTTTTTTTCCCTGCTTTTTATTTATTTATTTTTGTCTTTTTTTTTCTTTTTCTTTTTCTTTTTCTTTCTTTCTTTTTTTTTTTTTTTTAAGACAGGGTCTTGCTATGCAGTTCAGGGTGGCCTTGAGCTCACTTTGTAGCTCAGGCTGGTCTCAAACTCACAAAGATCCTCCTGCCTCAGTGTCCGGAGTGGGATTATAGGCGTGTGCCACCACACCCAGCTTTTTGCTTCATTTTAAACGCTGAATAATATTCTTCTCTGTGTGTCTATGTATTCACACATAAACCATATTTTTTTTAAATCTCTTTTTTATGATGAATGTTTGGGCGGTTCTGCTTTCCGGCTATTTGGAATAATGCTGTAATGAACATGAGTACACAGATGTCTTTTGGAGGTCCTACTTCCAATTCTTTTGAATATATAGCTGCGGAACTGCCGAATCATGCAGTACATCTGTTTTAGTGTTAGTTGTGTGGTGGGTCTCCATGTTGTGTCCTCAGCGCTTGTACAAGTTGATATTCCTGCCAGCTGAGTGCGAGGGCTCCGGTTTCTCCACACTTGAACAGCACTCGTTATTTTCTTCTGATGGTGGCCGTCCTAGTGTGTGCGCGGTGACGTCTTGGTGTGGTTCCCTGCGTGTGCGCGGTGACGTCTTGGTGTGGTTCCCTGCGTGTGCGCGATGACGTCTCCGTGGGGTTCCCGGCGTGTGCGCGATGACGTCTCCGTGGGGTTCCCGGCGTGTGCGCGGTGACGTCTCGGTGTGGTTCCCGGCCTGTGCGGGGTGACGTCTCGGTGTGGTTCCCGGCGACGTCTCCGTGGGGTTCCCGGCGTGTGCGCTGTGACGTCTCGGTGTGGTTCCCGGCGTGTGCGCGGTGACGTCTCGGTGTGGTTCCCGGCGACGTCTCCGTGGGGTTCCCGGCGTGTGCGCTGTGACGTCTCGGTGTGGTTCCCTGCGTGTGCGCGGTGACGTCTCGGTGTGGTTCCCTGCGTGTGCGCGGTGACGTCTCGGTGTGGTTCCCGGCGTGTGCGTGGTGACGTCTCCGTGTGGTTTTCATTTGCGTCTCTGTAGTGATGAGAGATGTAGAGCGCCTCTCCATGTGCTTGCTTTTGGCCAGTCATATATTTTCTTTGGAGAAATGTCCGTTTTACCTAATTTTAAATGGGGTTACATACTTTTGTTGTCGTTGAGTTACAGGAGGTCCTTGCTATGCCCTGGGTATTAAACCCTTATCAAATATGTGATGGCGGATATTTGCCTTTTCAGTGTTGGTAGTGTCCTTTGTTGCAGAAAACTAAATTTTGAAGAAATCCAATTTACCTTTTTTACTGCTTGTTTTTATTTTTTGGTGTCATAGCCAAGAAATCACTGCCAAATTTAATGTCATGAAGTTTTTTTTTTCCGTTTTTCTTTTAGGAGTTTTATAGTTTTTAGTCTTAGATTTAGGTCTTGAACCCATTTTGAATTAATTTTTATGTATGGTGTAAGGTAAGGGTTTAGCCCCCAGCCCTTGCATGTAGATATTCCAATTTTCCCAATGCTGCTTATCAGAAAGACTGTCCTTTCCCTACTGCCATTCTTGGCCATATTTGGAGAGTTTACTTCGAGGTTCCCTGTCGTGTTCCATCGGCCTAGGCATGTCTTCATGTCAGTACCACAGTTTTGATTACTGTAGATACGTAATAGGTTTCAAAATCAGGAAGTGTGAGTCTCCTCCAAATTTGTTTTTCTTTAAGGTTGTTCTGGCAATTTGAGATCCCATTCACATTACTAGAAATACATATCATGTTAGTGTGTGCATTACTAAAAATGCTAGAGAGGTTGGGGGTGTGAAGCGGGACTGGGCTGGAACTCAGCAGACGGCCGTGACTGTTGTGCTCCAGAGGACCGCTTTCTGCACATGCAGCTGTTCCTCGGCACCTCGGTGCTCAGAGCCGCTAGCCTCTTTGCTGACACACTTTCTCTTCTCTCAGATTCCCACCAAGTTGAAAGAGGCATTGAGAACTGCCAAGGAATCTATAGAAAAGAGACTAATGGAAGAGCAGAAACAGGTAAGCGGCCATTCTTCGTTGCCGTATGATCTTTTAGGGGCCCCACCCTCTACCATGGTCTTCCTGGTGGTTGTCTTTTGACAGATTGTTCATTCCCTAAACATTTTGTGCATATTTGCTCTCAACCAGGTTCTGGACTAGATACTATAACCCAAAACTGAATTTTTTTTTTGGTACCGGGAATTGAACTCAGGACCTTGTGCTTGCCAAGCAAGGTGCTGTGCCACTGAGGTATATCCTCAGCCCAAAACCTGAATACTTCCCTGTGCCCTCAGCAGCTCAGGGTGGAGAAATTGACCCATGTGCACAGGGTGGCCGTCCTTTATGGTCAGGGTGTGCCAGGTGTGGCAGTTGGCGAATGTATGGCCCATACTCGACAGATGCCGTAGACCAGATTCTTCTGGTCTTCTATAAAAAGGAAGGCAAGGAGGAACTGAGGGAGTCGGAAGCTCTTCGTCCCTTAGCATACTCTTCCTGTAGACATCCAGACCCAAGCCAGGAGGCAGACAGGCTTAGCAAAGAAATTTTTTTTCTCCAAATAATTTGATTTGGCCAAACATGTTGGAGAAAAGTTTCATTAGGAAACTACCTATAGTATCTGCTTACATTTATGGTGAATTGTGGTCTCTTAAAGATTCACCAGCATCGAAGACTGACAAGAGCTCAGTCCCACCATGGATCTGAAGAAGAAAGAAAAAAGAGAAAGATTTTGGCTCGGAAGGTATGCCTGGTGTCTCTGCATTCTTCTTGTGAATTCTTGACCCTGTGTAAGAAAAAGTCCTAGGCTAATGGTCTGTGTTTAATGACAGATTTTGTGCTGTATCTCCTTGAAAGCTGAAAGCATTTCCAGATGACTGGTTTGTAGCTTTTTAAAAAGCCACATAATATTAGTAGAGCGTTGGACCATACAGTTTCCTGGCTTGCTGGGCTCATTATGGCATGATCTGATTGGAGGAGATGATTGGCTTGAGATGGTAAAGTCAGCACTCCTGGTTTTAGTTCCCCCTGTAGTTTTGGCTTGTGGCTTCTTTACTGTATGAAGTTATGAGGTCAAATATGACTTAGTCTGTAGCTAGTCAAGCTGTATGCCTGGAAAGTTGTTAATTTTTTTTTGAACGTTTTTACTTTGAACTCTCTGCTTCAGTGTGTTGATTCTTTGCTTCCCTCCCCTTCCTTTATTTTTAAAGAAATCAAAACGATCTGCTATTGAAAATAGTGAAGAGCATTCAATGAAGTACAGCAACTCTAACAATTCAGGTAACTGGGTAGAGACGGGAAGGGGCTCACAATCTAGAGGTCGGCATCGGGGCAGTTGAGTAGGTTTGGGGTTCTAGTGGGCAAAGATTGGACAGTGTAGTCATGAATGCAGAGAAGAAGAGAATTCTGTGCCTAACAGGGGATTGTGATGGCACCTGTGGGCTCAGAACTGAAGGTTGGGCTGGCCTCAGATGTCACTGCATAGCCCTGCCTCTTCGCTCATGGCCAGACTCAGGCCGTCAGAGACACAGGAGCATCTGCCGTGGAGGAGAAACAGACTCAAGTTACAATGCAGGGCCTCCTGTTTTTGGGTAAAGTCTGCATAAACTGAAATTACCCCAAATCCCGGCCTCTGCTGTGGACCCCGTGTGGTGGAAGGATTTGCACCTGTGTGGATTAGGGAAAGGACTGTGTGTTGGAGTGTCAAGAAGCGTCATTCCAGACAGGCCGAGCTGCTATGAAGAGCGCTGTCCTGAGTGGGAAGACCTCACTGCATTCCCGGCTGCCCCTCACCCAGCTCCCTGGCTTGGGCTTCAGATATGCCCATGTTTACACATCAGGGCCAGGGTGAGTGGTCCCTGTGGTCCTTGCAGTTCTTGTACTTGGTGACTCTGTAAAGCACAGTTTTGACACAGGGAAGGTTTCATTCTAACGGGCAGCAGGTGCAGCCTGAGGGCTACGGGAAAGGAGATGTGAGGGTTTGAGGGTTAACTTACTATACTTTTAGGCAGGAGAAGGTCCCAGCAGGGAGTGAGAAACTGAAGATGCAGAAAGGAGAGTGGCTGAAGAGCTAGAGGGCCAAGGGGTGAGCATGAGGAGCCCCGCCGTCAGTCTCGCTGTGAGGGACTCTCGTTCATCTTTCTGGAGAGCAGAGCGAGGAGGGATGGGGGAAGAGGCAGAGGCGGTTAACATGGGAGGGCCAGGCTTGCTGGTGTCCTGCACTCCGTAGTCCCAGCTACTCAGGACGCTGAGACAGGAGGATGGATTGAGCCCAGGAGGTGAAGACCAGCCTGGGAAAATAGCACAATCCCATTTCAAAGAAAAAAAAGAGAAAGTGGAAGGAAGAGGAGAAACTGTGGGTATTCGCCAGCTGTGCCTCATCCTCAGAAGTCAGCCAGGAGCATGCCTACCTGAGAGGTGCACGGGGGTGGGCGGGGGGAGATTGGGAGGCACCTGGGGGCTGCAGGGGCCACAGCAGGTGGTGTAGGCAGAGCTGGGCATCGGAAGGTTGGAATGGGCTGAGCAGTAGGACTCATAGCTCTAAACAGGAGGCTCCAGAAGGAGGGGCCAGTCATGCCGACACCACCACGGGTGCAGCTGGAGAGCGCTGGGGGAGAGGGTGGGACGAGGTCCCAGGGAGGACCAAGGCAGGCTCCTGGGATGGAAACGGTGGCCAGCAGCTAGTTCCAGCATGGCAGGTCTCTTTTCTCCGTGGCTGATGGCGTGGACAGAGACCACTCTTCGTCGTCAGCAGGCCGAGATTCACGTCAGTCTGGCAGTGACCTGTTCAACCTCTAGTTCTTTACAAAGCAGAGAAAGCCTGACTGTGCTCTCCGCCTTCCTGACGCCTGCGGCAGCCAGAGGGGAGCAGCAAGGCCTCCCAAGACACGCTCGCGCCCTCAAGGAGTTTCGGCTGTCTCCTGGCTGACTTCTGAGGAGGATGAGGCACGGCCTGTGAACCCCTGCAGTTTCTTCCTTCCACTTGCTCTTTGAAATGGGATTGTGCCTAAGCCACTGACTGCAGAGTTGGTTGCAGACCAGGCAAGCTGGGCGGACCCAGGGACTCAGCCTGCCGTGGCCCGGGAAGGAAGCCGACCCTGCGCTGGGGGACAGCCTGTTGCACTGGACCCAGTCTCCCAAGTTTCTGTCCCTTCTCATGTTGTGACCCAAGTGCTAGGCCAAGTGCAGATTCTCAAACAACAGTGGGTTTCTGTTTGCATCAAATTCCAGGTGCCTCTCTTCAGTTCCCGTGAGCGTTTGTCTGTTTTATCTTAGCAGGGTCTGGGGCCAGCTCACCTCTCACATCCCCGTCATCTCCGACTCCGCCCTCTACAGCAGGTCAGTAGTGTGGTAAGGTGACATACCTCCCTCCTCTCCACCAACGGGAGGAAGGGCTCTTCTTCTTGCCTTGCTGCAGGGGTCCAGTAGCACCAGCCTTCTCCAGAGACCAGAGGGAACTTAAGTTAGCTGTGTGTCTTCTACGAGAAACTCTGTGTTCGCCGCTTTTAGAGCTGTTAGGCACCCTTTTGTCAAGCTCGTTCTTTGCTGAGCCAGCTTGTCTGCAGACAAAATACACCCGTGCCCAGGGCCCTGTCCTGCCAAAGCATCCTCCTGAGGGCGCCCATCCACACTGGCTTTGTCTCAGCGCAGAACGGATGCGGCCCCTAGTGTACAGTGAAATACCTCCCTTCGGGTTGCCTGGTGACTACGTATAGTTTATTCTGCTAATAGTTCTGTATCACTAGCCTTTGTTTTGCATTTGTGAGTTAAGTCAGATATTATGAATTACTTTCAAAAAATTTAAAAGGAATTTATCTTGAGACTACGTAGAAAAATAATCTGACTCTGTGGAATAGTCTCATAATACTGTCTTCATGTTCTTTCCTTTTTGAACTAAAACCTCTCTTCTAACTACTTTCCAAGCCGAGTAAAAACTTCCTGGAGCAGCCTCTCTTTACGTCTTAAGCGGACCAGATAGCCTGGGTGTCTGAGGAGCTGGTTCTGCCACTCGGAGCACATTGGTTGTTCTTGGAGGCTTCCTGCAGCTGTGTGAGGGGACGGTCATCAGCAGGATTGATCAAGACCTGACAGTACTCACATTCATGAGCAGTTGTGGTCCCCAGGAGCCTCCAAGAGCATGTCCCAGTTCTCCCAGAGGCTTCGAGCTGATCTTCCTGAGAAAACAACAGGCAAATGCAAGGGGCTAGTTTGAACCCCCTCCTTGGGAGCAGGGGTTTGCCCTTGCTGGCTGATAGTGATTACTGATGGCTTACTGCAGAATGTTCTGGGCCGGGGCTGGTTTTGAGTTGCCAGGTACCTGGTTCATGGAACGTATATACTTCTTCCTGTCTTTGTCAGCAGATTTTACAAGAACTTCCCCAAAATGGATCAAGACAGATCTTTCTTTTTTGAAGGTGACCTACTGAGGCTGATCCAGAAGGCTCAGGCTTTCTGCAGGCTCACTGCCCAGCCTAGGTAGAGCCATTTTCTAGAAGAAAAGGTATTAATTTTATACCAGTTGGACATATTAAGGAAATTAAAGAGAATTACCTCCATAAACCCTCCTTGAACAAGTAAGGTGTCTGCTAAGTATATAGCCATACACTGTGTGTATGTGGATTCTCATTTTTAAATGTCTTAAGGTCCGAGTGTAGTGGCACACATAGTGAGATCCTGTCTCAAACAAACAAACAAAACAAGTCTTGAGGAATTTATAGTCCATTCAAACTTTTCAGAGGAATTCTCTACTTGATGTCTACTTTAAGTGGTAACTATCTCAGTTGCATGTGGTGGTACATACCCGTAATCCCAGTAGGAGATTAGGAGGCTGAGGCAGGAGGATTACCAGGAGTTTGAGGGCAGCCTGGGCTACACGGTGAGTCCAAGGGCAGTCTCAAAAAAAACAAAACAACAACAAAAAAGTGGAAACTATCACACAGTAGCAAGTTTGCATGAGATGAAGTAATTTTGGGGCTATTCGCAGAAGGGTAGGGATATAGCTCAGTGCTAGAGCACTTGACCAACATGCATAATAACCTGAGTTCAATGTCCGGCACTGGGGGGAAAAGCATTTTTAGAAAGCACTTGAGCCAAGCACGATGATGTACACCTGTAATCCCAGCTGCTCCAGAGGTGAGTGGGAGGACTACAGGTTCGAGGGCAGTTCGGGTAACTTAGGGAGACCTCCCTCTCAAAATGAAACAGCAAGGGCGCTGTGGGACACTGGCTGAGCCTTGTGAGGCCCTGGATTCAGTCCAGCACTGCAAAGCAAATTAATTAATTAACTAAACAAAGCGTTTGCCTGGAATGAGAGAAGAAAAACAGGCGTCTTGTGTGGTCAGAGAGTACTGGAAGATTCAGCTAAGGTGCAGGGGAGTGGCAGGGTCGGTGCTGTGGGTTCGACAGCACTACCTGAGGGCGGCCGGGGGACTGAGGAGGAAAGCACGCTGAGGCCCAAGCACGAAGCCTGCGCTGGCGAGGGTTTCCCGGCCGCAGTGGCTTCTCCTTTCCTTTCCCTTCGATGTTTTGTGGACAGCATTGTCAACTCCACCCCCAAAACAGTACTCTGACCTCTGCTGGGAATTTCTTGTAATACAAGTCATAAAAGTGGTAATACTTAGCCTTTACCTGGTAGGGTCGCACTTCGGGCCCTGTATGAAGTACCCGCGTTGTTTATTCCTTCAAGACTTTCCCAGGAGGCACTTTCAGGGAGCCTGTGGTTTGCCAGGGACTCCGCAAGGCCCTAGGTTACAGAGACGACGGGACGAGGCCCCGGCTCTCAGGGAGTCTCCTTTCCGGAGCCTCTCAGGAGCTCCAGAATGACAGACACAGTGCAGGTCAGTGCTTTCCTTGGGGGCTGGCAATAGCAGTGTTCTGTCTCCTCCGCTTCCCTCAGTAAGGGCTCCTCCTCCGGGAAACTCGCACACAGCAAGCTCCGTCCTGAGCCTCACTGGGCCTGGCATTCAGGTCGCTGCCTTCTACAGGTGGCTGTGAGTCCCCGTCGATGGATTTCGCAGCTTCCTCTGCCGTCACGGCCTCTGCTGCGTGAAGGCAGACTCAGCCTCAGGTGGGGGCTTCCACTGCTCAGCCCTGGTGAGACGTGCAGGCCAGGAAGGCTGGCTTCTTCTTGGCCCGTCTTTCTCACTGCCCCTCTGCACGCTGCTCATCCTGCTGCTGGATTCACTTACTGCAATTTACAGCCTGACTTCTAGGCTAAGTTCATGGGTATAAGTGAGGGGTGGCGTCTTCCAGCTTTATTATGAAATACTGTTTTCAGAAAGGAAGGAGCCGGGTGTGGTGGCACATACCTATAATCCCAAGCACTCCGGGAAACTGGCAGGAGGATGACAAATTGAAACCCAGTCTGGGCAGTTTAGCAATTTAGCAAGACCTTGTCTCAGAATAATAAAGGGCTGGGGATGCAGCTCAGTGTGAAGGCCCTGGGTTCAATCCTCAGTACAACCACCCACAAAAAAAAGAAAGAAAGGAAAATGTCTTCGTTTTCAAGGACTAGTATTAATGAAAGAATTCCTACAAAAGATAGCATCTCAAGGGGCTGGGGATTTAGCTCAGTGGCAAAGCGCCTGCCTGGCATGCGCAAGGTCGTGAGTTGGGTTCCCGGTACCGGAGAAAAACCAAAAAAAAAAAAAAAAGATAGCATCTCAATCACAGTGCACCTGGAACCCATGAGACCTGCGCCATGGGTCTGGGATCCTGAGCTTGGGAGCCACCACTTGCTTGGCTTTGGGACCGTGGGCCAGGCACTTGGCCTCCAGGTGCTTCCAATTCACCAAGGGACAGGCCAAGTGCCTGCTGTTAGAAAGGCTCTGTGGGTTACATGGGGGTGGGGGGGGCAGTGAACAGTGCCTGGCACTCAGAAACCCGACCATATGGTTCATTACTCAGAGTCTGAGTGAGTCTGTATCCGTGGCCGGTTTTGGTTATCCCCTCTGGAAAATGCAAAACGCAGAAGTTAGAGGAGACCCTCCCAAAGTTGCTCCAAACAAGCATGCTGTAAATCTAGTGTGGACCCCGCTTCTGGCAGCTGGCTCAGCAGTGGCTCAGCTTAGGCAAGTTGAATTTCTTCCTGAGAGCATCAGTGTGCAGTATTTATGTAGCTGAATGTGTCTTCCTCTCAGTTACCTTCAGCACGAGGAGAACTGACATGTTTTTACACACGGGGGTCCTGCTCCCCGTGGTCCTTCCCAGCAGCTAGGCCCTCCCTTTTCTCTCGGCAGCACCCTCTCTTGGGGCATCTTGAGGTGCCTCCCATACTGATGGGAGGAAGTCATTTCCCTGAGTCTGCTGGCAGTTCTGTCTGGTGAAGTAACACTCTCTAATGCAGCAGTCCTTTTTTTGGTGAGAACATTCTTTTTTGCTAAAGATTGTTTTCTGTCTTAGAAAGGTCACATTTTCAAGAACTTTAAAACCCTTTATCCCAATTTATGTCATGGTAAATGTCATCAATTAGTATTTCTGTGAATACACAGAGCTGGTCCCAGTTTACATATACATAAATACTCAGTAACTTGGTACCCCCTCACTTAGGGAGCAGCTGGGCCTGTTACTTTGCTTTTTTTTTTTTTAAGCAGATTTTCAAGAATATTTTAGGAAACCTAAAGAAGAAAAGATGCTAAATTGTTGTTTTTTATAACCACAGCTAACATATTTTGAGCACTTGTTTTGTGCCAGCTCCTGTTCTAATTGATTTGTGTCAGTGTTTCATTTAATTCTCATGAATATTGTCCCATCCCGTGAGAGTTTAGCTCCATTTTACAGAGAAACTGAGGCTCTAGTAAGGTTGAGAGAAGGTGGCCAAGGTCACTTAGGCAGAGGTTAGTGCTATGGCTGGGATTTCTTTTTTTTTTTTTTGTCCTGGGAATCGCACTCATGACCTCGTGCTTGCCAGGCAGGAGCTGTGCCGCTGAGCCATATCCCTGGCCCGTGTGGCCAGGACTTTAACTCACTGCTGCCTTTAATCACTTTTCCTGCTGACTGAGTGCATGCCTGGTTTTTCAGGGCACGCTGCAGTACCGGTGCTATTGAGCACTGTGCCTGCCTCACGTGAAAAGACCCTCAATGTAGAATGAGGAAAGCTGACCTGCACCCTAACTCTGCCCTTGCCTGGTGTGACCTTGGGCAAGTAGTTTCCATTCTTGGAAGCTGTCTTTTGAGAGAACTTGTGCTGCTTGTGAGGTAGACAGTATAACCGCCAAGCTCTATAAGCTGTAAAGCACTGTCGAGTATGTGTCAGGAGTGCCTGACATCAGAGAAGTCTAGCCCTTCTTGCCTACAGTTTAATGTTATGCAATAATTTTGAGGCAGGAGATGCCGCAGCTTGTAGAAAACCCAGTCTGTAAGAATGAGTAGAGAAAAGGGAAGTTCCAGATCTGGAGCTGGAGGGACCAAAGCAGAGGAGAATGACTGAGAGCTTAAAGAACAGGAAGGAGGGTTTTTTG